AGTTTATTACGATATCTTGATAAAAAAAAATCGTGAGCACAGCTATAGTATTCATAGAAATTTGTTGTGTTTTCTTATCGTTGATGTTGTATGTAGTTTTTGTTTTAGTGAATGACGTGTTTCCTTTGTCTAAAAGTTGACCCTCACAAATTTATTTATAAAAAAAAAACTAAACAACCGAAGAATGAAATCAATCAACCAAGCATGTTCAAAATATTTATTGTTTGGAAACCAATTTGTTCAACACATTTGTTTTTAACAAACCTAAACAAAGAATCACAGAATGATATGTTTTCATCAAAATCCATTTGTTTCGCAAGCAAAATCAATATTTTATTTTCGACAAAATGATAAAAAAAAAAATCTAATTCGTTCGGTAATCAAATTTCTGAGGATCTACTTTCGTTATTCGTTCTTCTTGGTTATTATAACATTCGATCATAAGAAGATTGGCATTGAAAACCAGTTTTGGCAAGTGATAATCATGAAGAGAATCAAAATCACGTCACAAAATTACCACAAACCAAAAAACAAATAGAAGGAAAAATCATTCAAAAGTATTTTTTTTTGTTTTTCAGTTTTCTCTAGATACGTTCAAATCAAACAACAGACATTGGTTTTTATTTCTGTGTTTGTTTTGTTTTCTCTCCTTCAAATTTATTATATATATTCATCTGAGTAGGCAAGCATACACGTACTGCAAATCTTTCCAAAAAAAAGCATTCTTATTTTTACCTGTAATTCCATTTCAATTCAAATTTTTGAATTTAAGACAAGTTAAACATTTAAGATCATATGCCAGCTGTATTTGACCAGCTCAATTTGGAAATTTCTTTTTTTTTTGTCATATATATACAATTTTGCTTCTTTAAACCAACAACCAAAAATAACCATATATAATTGCAAATTAGCTTTGAATTTTATTTTAATATTCGCAAATTGGAGTGAGAATCTGACAAAATCTAATAAAATTTGTTCATTTTTTTTCCCTTTCGGTTTGTGTTTTGTTGTTCATTTACGCTTTCAAATTTTATGTCGCGCTCACGCTCGCTCCGCCATGATACGATGACGTTGCTTACGGCTGTTTTAGGCATTTGCATGGTTTAGCGACTTACTGGTTGAACATGCAGAAATATTTTGGTCATTGTTTGCTGTTGATATGGACCGAGTATTGGCTGAGCAACCGCCAGACACCTGGGACTCATTTCCATTATTCCAAATTTTAAATGATTATCTGAGGACAGACGGTAAGGTTGCTGAATTTTCAAAATTGTTTCGATGGTATGGGTTCATTGGCCGCTATCTTGTTTTTGCAATTGATTTTAGATAATTTGAAAAATGGTCGGTTCCATCAACATTTACGTGATACATTCGCACCGTTGGTGGTGCGATATGTGGATTTAATGGAATCATCGATCGCTCAATCGATACACAAAGGTTTCGAAAAAGAGCGATGGGAGAGCAAAGGCAACGGATGCGCCACATCGGAAGATCTGTTTTGGAAATTGGATGCGTTGCAATCGTTTATACGTGATTTACATTGGCCCGACGAAGAGTTCCGCGAACATTTGGAACAACGATTAAAATTAATGGCCTGCGACATGATTGAGTCGTGCATTCAACGCACCGACGGTGCATTCCAATCGTGGCTCAAGAAAAGTGTTACATTCATATCGACCGATTATATCATTCCGTCAGAAATGTGCGCCATGGTTAATGTCATTTTAGATGCGAAAAACCAAAGCTTTAAACTTTGTGCCGTCGATGGTGTCGATGTGGTAAGAATTTTGTTTGCTTCTCTTTTTTTTGCCAAGGACTCTTCTTTTTCAAATTCGGTCAGCACAAAAGTTTTCGCTTGACCTAATCCATTTTAATTGTTTTTTTTTCGAAATCGGGCATTAAAATTTAATTTGTTTTTCTTTCGGCTTCGAAAAAAAAAACTTTTAATTGCAGCATCAATATCATGCAAAAATTGACGATCAAATCGATAAAACGTTGGCCAGCATGAATATGGGCTTAATCAACAAACTGATGTCCGTATTGGAAGCATCACTTTCGAAACTATCGCGCTACGATGAAGGCAGTTTCATTGGATCGATTCTGAGTTTCACGGTGAGTTAATCGGCACATTTCTTGGTAAGAGCTTTTTGACAAACGACCGAACAATAAGATGAAAATCAATCCAATACGTTTATCAACTTATACATATTTAAATGGCTGAGCCTTACGATGTAAACCTTGGCTTATGATGTCAAAAGTTATGAAAGTCATAAAGGCGCTTTTCATTAGTGTTGCCGACAAATTTTTTGTGTTCGTTTTTGCTTTTGGCAAGCCAGCACCAAGTCATCAATGATTCATAACCGTCGTAACCTTTTATTATTATTGTTTTCAATTATAGAATGTGTCTGGGTCTGGTAAAGATCTTGGTCAGGGCTATGTGAATTTTGCGCGCAACAACATGGATCAAATCCGTGGTAAAATCAATGATGAACTTTGGATCTTAACATTCTTCGAACAATGGTATACATCGCAAATAAATATGCTGTGCAATTGGCTGTCGGAGCGTTTAGGACATTCGTTACATTTTTACCAGTGTACCTGTTTAGCACATATTGTTAAGGTAAGCGAAGCGAGCACGATTGCTTTTAATTACCCGAATGCCATGAATGAGTGAACGATGCATGGTTCGATTAAGAGCGTTCGCTAAATTAATATCCGTTCATTTATTAATATTTATCAATCGATTGAATATGCAAATGTGTTTGTTGCAGAAAATCTATTCCGACTTCGAATTACAAGGCGTAATGGAAGATAAACTGAACTCCAAGGCATATCAAACGGTATCGCAGCGCATGCAAACGGAAGAGGCGACCTGTGCTTTGACCATGAACAATCATCCCGATGGCGATGAGTAATTATCCTCCTCCTCCAAATTTTCTCCCATCTGAATTTAATTTAAATCCAATCTTTGTTCTATCCATCCGCAGTGCATTCGATGGTGACGATGGAACGGGTGCCGCATCGGTGGCATCGGCCAGTTCGGCCGGAAAAGGTACCAGAACACAACCAATAATGGAATCGTTGGGTGAAGATGGAAATATAAATATAAGTAATGTAACAAATGTGGTTGTAGGTAAAGTTGGAAATTTGTTCGGTAAAGGCATCGGTGGAATAGGGTCAAAACTTGGTGGTGGAGGCTGGTTCTAAGTAAATAGTATATCAAATCAAGCAAAAAAAGAAAGAAAAATAAAAAAGAAACGAACAATTGAAAACGGATTGTAGATTTGTTAATAGAGTGTGTAGGATGATGATGATGATGATGATGAGAAGCAAAAACACATACACACACACACACACATACACACACACACACAAAATAATACCATGCTGAACACTTGACACAGAATAACCCAAGGTTAGAAATATACATACGCTTCCCGAAAGAAAAATAAGAACGAACAAACAGAATCCTCCCCATAGCTTAACCACTTTGGCTCGCCTCTAGAGAAATGAGAGAACATGCCACACTCTGTCAGCCACATACACACACACACACACGCGCTGGACAAACATTTTGATATTGAAACACACAAACATACTTTGAACACACACACACACACACACAGAGAGAAACACATATACACGAACTCCCCAACGCAGTACGTATACTCTCTATTTGCATTGAAAATACGATTGATTGTTTTGTCTTGCCATTGAACATCTTTTTCTCTCGTTCATATATAGACTACTTTTATATATTTGTTTTTTCTTCACAAGCTTTAAAAAATGTAGTAAATTTTTTCGACGGTGAGACAACCATAAATCTTTAACAAACAAAAAACACACACACACCCATATAGATACAACCCAAAATACAAAGAAATCATCTTAAAAAAAATGAATCTAACATCAATAAATAATTATTCTGAAAAGCAACAAAAGTCTAAAGAAGAACAAGAAAAAAAAAATGCTAGAAATATTGTAAGAAGGAAAAAAACGTAAGTATAAATGAAGCCAAAGCCAAAATCTAGACTATTGTATGATTTAATTCATTGAATGAAACATAATCGAGTTATTTGAACAACAACAACAACAACAACCAGCATTTCTCATACCAAACGATTGATAAAAAAATAAATTTGTGAAGAAAAAAGACATAAAATGGCACACATTTAGCCACCTTCAAATGATAATGATGTAGAAGACGATGACGAAAAAAAAATATATTACATTTTTATTATAATTGTGATTAACTTTACTTCTTTCTCGAAAAACAATAACAAAACTTACTACTAACTTGCATATTTGCTTACTTACGTACTTACTTAACTATTTAAATGAGAAAAAAAACACAAACAAGAATAATAATCAACAATACGATTTAAAAGCTAGCGATCAATTGAACACATTGAAAATGAGAAATATGAGGATGAGCAAATTTTTGATTTTATTGAACCATCATCATTAGGTTCACATAGTGCGAATGAAACAACAGCATTCATATGGTGGAAACGCGTCTAATTCGTGCAATTCGTACGAATTTGTGTTTCCGATCGAAAATCAAACCAAAAAAAAGGAACGGAACTATTGAACATTGGCTCACGATAAGGGAAAAGGCTATTTTATACACCAACACATATTATACACATTCCATGTCATCCGAAGTCTATTGACGGCAGGTTGACTGATTGTTCATTTGCCACAATTTCACTTCACTCACTCACGCAGTAATCGAGTATGCTGATTTGTTTTTCGCTAACTAAACAGTTCTTTAGAAGCAAGAAAAAGAAAGAAACTCCCATTCAGCCAGAGTTCTTTAGAAGAGAAATGAACAGCAAAAAAACCACGTGTAATTTTCAAATGCTGTCCTCTTTTTAACGTTGACCCTTTTATAGCCATACATATATATACACACACACACACACACACACACACAAGTCGATAGACAATATCAAAGAGACAAACTTCGATGTACGAGCATTTGTAATAAGAAAAAAGTGTTTGCAAACGATATTCTACTAAAAGAAAAAGAGTACAAAATAAAATGGTATTTCGTAATTTAAAAAAAAAAACTCACACACACGTTTTGGATATTCACAATCCAAGTAAAGGAAAACAATAAGACAAACCAAAAAAATGGAATATAGAAAGAAAACCAAAACCGAATAAATAATTAAAATTAAATGGTGAAGACAATGATAGCGATGACAATGACCTTCGAAATAATGTTTATTGATATTGCAAACTTATAGGCATATAAATGAAAAAAACAAAACAAAACAATGGTATAGAAATAGACAACATAACAATTGACAACATTTTTTTCCGTAAGAAAATTACTTGCAATTATTTTTTTTGGAGTGAAAAAATCTTTCTCTCAGAAAAAAAACCTGATTAGCAATTAACATGCACCGAAATGAAACAACAGCAACAGCAGCAGCAGCAGCAACAATATAATCATTCTAACACATCGCGTCACATGCAACAGATATCAGCAATGCCAGTTAAAACGCATTATCATCGAGTATTCAGCAGTAACACACACACACACACATCACACCACACACAGCGTATTTAGCGTATAGAATTGATATAACCGGTAAATGCACATACGCGCGCGCCACAAATTTACACAGACAAACGAGTAGGACTTTTTTTTAGCATTTTGCGTTTTGTACAGTTTGGATAAATGACAATTATATACACAGTGAAATAGAATAGCGCTAAAGAAACGAATGCTACGATTTTCTGTACACACACATACACCCACATAACTCACACCAGGAGCTATATCGAACGCAAACACTTTTTTTCTTGTTATTGGATGATGAAAATTTATATCTGTAAATATGGTTTATTCAAGCGTTGAAAAACCTTGGCAAATTCATGAATGAATTCCCTTTGGCATGGATGCAAATACATTCTCTGCATGTTTCGCTTTAAATCGATTCAAATCATTTCGGAACATGAAATCCCAGCTCAAGTGGAAAATTGCCAAGGATTTTCCTCTCGCCACATTAGGTTATTCACTAATTTTTAGCTTTCGTTTTCGTAAGAAGGGTTGTAAAATTCGTCTCGATCCACATTCGTAGCTTAGACTCCAAACAAATAATAATAACAATGATAATGAGGATGATGATGAAGGTGAAAACAAAACATGATAAACACATCGAACACGTAAATTTAACGGGATTATCAGAGTCTGACATCACCAGGTCGTATAATTCACATATAGCATTTGTATAATGAATATATATGATTTTGCACATTCGTTTTCATTTCGTTTTTCTCGTTGCGTTTGTTAGTTTTCTTTTTTGGATTTTGATTCGAGAGAAGAAGGAGTTTTTTCTTTCGTATTTGTGCATGAATTCATAATGTAGACAGAATAAAATTGCACTATACGAACACACTTCCCGTGCTAGGCTTCCTGTGGAATAAGAAAGCTGCATTCGATCTCATTCGACCCTTCAAAAACAGAAAAAAGTTTGCCAAATCAAACAAAATGAACAATGCGTTTTTAGTCAAATCTTAACGAGCGCTCTCTGTTTTGCATTCTCTTCTCGTTTTTTTACTTTTGACAAACAAAAATATATCGATCTAATGAGTTAGAGCATGTCGAGTTTATCTGTCATTTGATTAATATTGGAATTTTTCAAATCATAAACTTATACATTTATCAATTCGTTTCAAGTTTTGGAGTAGTCACGTTTTTCAGCCATAAATGACCTACACTAAAACACCATGCATTTCAACATGCAATTCTTCAAATTTGTTTTATTGAATATTCTCCTCTCAAATTAGATAAAGATATCGACAAATCAAACGATCAGCACATCAAAACATACCCCCAAAAAACTCAGTAACGCGCGACTTATGGAAAAGTCTGTTTAGTAGCAATGAACACTGAACTGCTCGAAACAAAGAATAAACCGAATGCAGGACAACAACAAATTCGAATGTAAAGAAAAACAGCATCTAAAATGTGAATTTTTTCTATCAATCGCAAAAAAATGATGAAAGCAGTCATATTAAACAAAGAACAACCAACAATAACAACAAAAACGATTTAAAAAAGAGATATTTAAATTAAAATAAAAAAAATCTTGCCTTTAAATATTTATTGAATAAATGAATAGTGTATTCAAAGTAATATAATGAGAAAAAAAACATACAAATAAAAAAAAAAAACAAATAACATTGCAAAAAAAAAAATTACGTTAAATAAATTTACAAAAAATAATAAAATTGAAATCTATAAATTTAATTAAAATCTAAATAAAAAAGTTCAAAAATAAAAAAAAATGCTCGAAAATGTTACCGAAAAAAGAAGAAGAAGAAGGAACAATACATATTAAATCGAATGAAGCGCGAGTAGTTTTCTTTAGACGAATAAAACGAACATCAACAAACAGTTGAGGTCACATTTTTCGAAGACGTGACGAAATGTGTGGAGAATCCGAATGCAATTTCAAGTTATTTTTATTGTACGCGCCACAGTTTTGATACACTGAGATTCGGAAAGAAAAATTACTGAATATTGAGACCGATCAGAAGCGATCGAAAATCGTTTGACAATGAACACTACACCACTACAGGGCAAATCTGTTTGGATTATGGAAATAATGAATGTGTATTTATTATGTCGCAAATACGCTTTGTCGCCAAAAGCTTTGTGCTTCATTTGTGCTTCGACAAAACACCCAACTAGCCGAAACTTTGATTATTTCTTCGTTTTCCTTTTGTCATTCAAACGTATCCTATTTGCTCTACGTTCATTTAAATATATCCATTCTTAAACGAGTTGAATCCGTAAAATGCTTTTTCTCTAGATTTTCTTCCCTTTTTCCCACTTCTCATTTCTCTTCGATCGCTTAGAAATTTAAACCAAACAAAAAATTCTTCGAACCAGGGAATTTATAAACTTGAAAAGAAGTGAATGTTTTTCTTGAACGAAATCAAGTGTAAAATGTTGAGTAGGAGAGTCCATTTCATCGATGGCTATTCGATGGAATGAATAGTTTTTACATGAAAATGTATTGCCCGTTAATGAATTTACATTATCCATGGTGCGCACCAAAAATGAACCATTTTCTTTCTTCCGAATATTTTTTACACTTTTTTCCTCCTCCATACACACATACACACGTATTTATTTCTATTCAGAAGAGCAACAACAAAAAAAAGAAAAAATTGTATGCAAAACACACACGCAAATTCCTCAAGAAAATCTATCTATATTTTTCCAATGCAACAAAATCAATCAAGTATGTAATAAGAATGTAAATACATTGACCGTATTGAATATTGTGTAGAAGTTTTAGGGCGAATGAAACATAATGCAAGAATGAAAAACAAATTTACAAAAAAAATATTTGCTTAGCAAAGGGAGAAACGTTTTTTTCTTTCAATTTAATTGCTTGTGTCTAAAGAGATTTGTAAGGCGTATGCAAAGCATAAAATAGGTCCATTAAGTGGAGAAAAGAAGAAAAAAAAACAATTTGCATGGAATGCACCGCAACAATAAATGTGTCATAAATTAGGCAAATGCGCTTGCTTGTCTGTATTGCGTAATCGAAGCTAGAAGCAATACAAATGAAGAGGGGAACGAAATCCATGGATTTTTTTCATATGGGTTATACGAATGAAATATATGCTCTGGCAAGAATGGAAATGTATGTGATGAATTCACCACCAATAATAACAACAAAAATCCAAGTGAGCTAACTCATTCTTTAAGAACTCTATAGAAAATCTCATATTGAACCGAATGAATACCAAACGGACAATCGCAAACCAAAAAAAAAAAACTTAAATAAACCAGCGAATTTTCACCTACATTTCACATTTGTTGCCAATCACAAATTCCAGAGCACCGAAGCTAATTGTAGGTTTTAGGCAAACATTGAATTGAATTGAGCTGAAGCATGAATTTCTAGATTAATTCGGTCTTTTGTTTGTTTTTTATAGCCCAAAGTCCTTTATTACAAACGATAGATAGTGAGGTGTTTAAGCCTTGTTTATTGCTTCTTCATTTTCTCTAGAAAATTCGGCGAATTATGTTTCGATCAGCTATGCTGATGGTCATTGATTGGACATGAGAAGGAACGTATTTAATCCCAAAATGAATTTTGCTTCACTGTCAATCAAGTACTGTCAGATGACAGCTATTGCTATTTTATTACCTAAAACCATACCAAAAAGAAGAGTATTCGAAAGAATAAGAAAAATGATGTAAACAATCGTTCGGCGATCAAATGTTGTCCTATCGACAAGAGGCAATTAATTGTTCATTGCATTTTGTATAAATGTTATTCCTCCCCGCCCCAAATAAAAAGAAACACACACACATATATATTGTATAAATGAGCCTGTAAATGAATACTATATTTAGTTTTATTATTTGCAAAGCAAAACAAGCATGAATGGACGCGTGACGAGCAAGTAAACATTTATAGCAGCAAGGTTATAGAAGTAAGCAAGCAAACGAATGGAAATTTAATTGAAAATCGATTGATTTTCGACATTTGATATTTTGTTTGGCTTTTTTTCTGGTTATTATCTCTAGTTTAGTTGATATGATTTTAGCATTCACGGAGAAAACACTGATTGATTGAGAATAGATGCAAAGTAAAAGAAACACACAATGAGGGCGAAAATAAATTCAAACTTGTTGTAAAAGTGGAGGAAAAATAAATTTCGTCTTAAAAATTGAAGAAGAAAAAAACCTTTTTAGAAATTGACAAACAAACACACACATATACAAGAGATAAAGATAAAAGTAAGGCGATTCATTTGTTATTTAGCTTATTCTTTGTTGGATCGATAGTAAATTTAAACTTTTCTCAACAATTTTTGAATAAAATTTAATTGAACAAAATAGTGAGCAAAGCATGACACCAAGTTATGCCCCAAAAAAAAAAATATATATATAGTTAAATTTTTTTAATTCAATAAACATTCAGAGAACAAAAACAACAACAAAAAAAGAGGATAAAAGAAGAGAAATCCAAATGATTGATGCGAAAAACAGAAATCCAGAACGGACGAAATATTTAGACATACTATGCAAATGCTCAAATTTCGGGTATTAAAAACGATCACTAAAATATTATGGGAGGACAACCAAAAGAGAAATTCAAAAGAAAAACGAGTAGAAGTAACAAACAAAGATGATACAAACCAATTGATTTTAAGTGGGGATAAAAGTTTACAGTACCCTAATGTATAAATGAAAATAACGTGTTACGAATTGCAAAAGATACATGGAAACAGAATGATAAACAAATACAAATAACTGTAGGTAGACTATTCAAAATAAAAAGTAAGAAAACGGAAAGCACGCATTTTTATTTGAAACTTTTTTCAGAAATACAGCGTATATCTATCGGCAGTACAATCGGATATTTCTGATTTTGGCCACCATGGTATCAATTGCTGCATCGCCTCTTTTGTCTCGACGCATTCTTGCATGGAAATTCAAAGCATCAAATCGAATGAGGTCCTGTGAAGAAGAACAACATTCATTTTATCAATTAAACCAGACCATTCTGGGATACTTCACTCTACTGAACTTACCGTTTCTTTTCGTAAACCGCACAATTCAAGGCAATGACAAATTGCCTCAAATGCAATTGTGTACTTGTGTGCGACTTGAATCCATTCGAGGTCAATGAAATTGCGATCATGCTTAGTTGGAAGCGTATTTCGTGCACGATTATTGTAATTCGACCAATTGTGTGGTCGACGGTCGTTGCGATCGTGTTGATCACGCCAATTCGATATAACGAGTGGTGGTCGTCGAATCCCCTGGAAATTAACCATAGCCACTGGCTGCGCTGGCAATATATAATTATTTGGGTCGCGCCAATTTGCTGAGATAAACAATGGTGTGATATTGTGATTAGTGGGTGCAAAACCGGGTGCTGCAGCCGGTGGGGCATTTCTAGTATTGTTTGTTTGTTGCCATCGTTGATTAGTGGCATTGGTGGCATTGGTGGCCATATTATGTCCATTCAATTCGGTGAGGAAAATAATATCGGCCTCACGGAATGAAATCGATTGGTTCTGTGGAATAAACCATATTTTAATCGATATCTTACCTAATAGAAGTGATCGTTTAATGCACCGCATACACACTTACCGATAGCAAAAATTTGAGTGTATACGAAACAATTCGCATGAAATTCGATTCGAATTTACTTCGGACATTCAAGATGAATTCATCATCCAAGCCGAGCATCCATCGGAAAATGAACCAACGTGTATCATCAAAAGACGTATCTTTTTCTTGAATGATTATTTGGTGAAGAGATGGCAAGTCCACTGCAATAAAGGAAAAATTCGAAGAAAATAAACGATTTTGAATTTAGAAGACCGTCTGTCCAAATGACAAAGATCGATTGTGAACTTACTCGGTGGATAAATGATGGGTTCATCGTTCTCATCGCTTTTGTTTGCAAATGATGGGCTCATCACATTCAGAGTTCGTTTGATTTTAACAGTACGAGAATGTGGTCGTTCTTCAACATCCTTGAAAATAATTCCGCACTGCTTCATGAGCATGGTAGTCATCAGTTGAATGAATTCCGTTGAATCGGGACGACGCAAGTCGATGAATGCCAACGCTTGGTTTGTTGACACTGTTTCCACGGCCAAACCGTAAACGAAGTACAAGTTTATTTTGGAAAACTCCACAAAATCGCGGAAACTTTGGTTGCGACCACTCAAATTATCTGGTTCCGGCATTTGATAGCGAATCAATTCACCTTGGATTTCTTTCAACTGTTGCGGCGTGTAATTCTCACCGAAAATATCGGCAGCGATGCGTTCCAATGCGCCAAGATTATCCAGACCTCGGACGTAATTAGATAGCTTAAAAATTGTTTTGCCGCTGTTTTCTGTGGTTTCCATATCGCGGGCCAAATTTGGAATGCAATCCCCCTTCAATCGTGACAATGCAGCAAGCATTTGGATTTGTTGTGTATTCAATTTTAATCGATCGTGCAATACGTCAGAGCAGTACTTTTTGGTCTGGAAACGCAGAATATCCAAATCGGCCAAGCTCCAGTACTGATACTCGCCTTCGAATAGTAGAAAATCTGTGTCGTTGTCAATCATTGCGAGTACTTCGTCGCTATGCTCTCGAGCATACTGAACAATGTTGAACGTAGCTCCGTGCATATGAGTGTAGACTTCACCGTAGCCCGAACAGATTTGCATTAGATTGTACAGAAATCGCTTATCCATATGGCACGGCGACCATCGTCCCATTTTCATCTGATCCAACATAAATTCAGGCAAACTATTTCGTACGGCATGATTGTAGGCGTTTGCGATTGTCGCTTCGTCGATGTCATTCAAAAATGGCCGACAGAAGAACACCAATTTAGCATTCCATTCACGCAGTTTTTCGAAGAATTTGGTGATCTTTTTGTTGTATATATCATATTGTCCGCCGACGATAAGACTGTTTCGATCGATTTTCGCCAAAATTTTAACGAAACGCACGAGATTGATTATAATTGTCGGTTGTCTCATGTCGTTCTCTCTGTATGTATAGATATATGTTTCACTTTTTTGAACGAAAATCAAATCGCTTGAAAATGACAAAATCTACTTACCGTTGCCATTCGACAATTGCATCATGAATGTTTACATCCTGAGCAATATTTTCATGTGGATTCTCTCTGATGAATGTTTCGAATCCTTTGATTCCCATTTTTACCGTATCATCTATAGCACAAAACCACTTCGCAAAATTATGACAGTCACAAGTTTACTCAGAACCATGTGCATTTATTGTTCTGACAAAGCGTCTCGCATTCCAATATACACAACGGAACAGTATAAACTACGTAGATATTTGGCGCGTTCAGTTTTTCTTCCATACTTCTCCGTTCATAACTGTCAAACTGACCAATACATTGATCGCTTCGTGTGAACAATGTATTAGCTGTTTAGAACAATACTGTCGGCTGTTAGTATGCAAAATGTTATGCACGAAACTGTACGATTCAAAGTGTATAGTATATGCAATGTGGAATGACGGGAACAGAGAAAGAGAGGAAGAGAGAGATAAAGAACAACTACATCGGCAAGTTTGTTTCGTTTATTGTGTGAATGGATCAATTTTGCTGTTCATTGGTGTTCTCATTGGAAGGAAATTTTCTGCTCTGACAATCTACTGACAATCATCAATGCTCGCCAACAACCAACCGAAGCCCGACATTCTCCGAGCATGAATGTGTTGGAAATGTTGGAATTCCTGTAGGTTTTTCAAGTGTTTGTGAGATTTTAGCAAATTGATTCATTTTGAGTCAATGATTTGAGGCAAAAACAATTTAAAATTTGATGACAACCTATTTTGGCTTTGAATAAACAGTACTTATGATCAATGTTCGAAAATATTCAATGTCGTTTCATTAGAATAAGCCTGATTTTCTATTTTATGATCGGAATATTTCAAGACATTATTTAATTATCAATTTCATTCACAACGAAACGGTGCAAACCATGTCAATGCCCATTCCATCCTTGTCTTTAGGGAAAAAAGCAGTTGCAATTTCATTTTTTTTTTTTACTTATTTTATTATTAATACAACTAAATAGATTTAACTAAGTACATATGTAATTTTTTTTTGTTTTAAATCTTGTAAATAATTTTTTTTCTCTTATTCATATTCCATATTGTTCGGTTCTTGTTTAACGTTTTTTTTTGTTCTCGTCTAGAATAAATATTTTTTCTTAACATTTGTAGATATGTGATCTAAATAAATCAACTTAAGGTTGTATCGAGCGTTGGTTCGTTCGTTCATTTGAAACGAGTTTCCTGTAAATTGTACGAAAACATGTAATTTCATTTGATTTTTGTATTGGATCATGTTATCTTGTGCATTTATGTTGAATAGAAATGACCATTTCGGTAAAATAAATGAGTGAAACGTTAAATTCCACTGTTGAATTAAACATGAATATCGAAAGGAATGTCACAAGACATAAATAAAATATGAGTTTAGTTTTCTTCTTCTGTTCACTGGACAATTTAGATAAAATGAAAATTAATTGACAAACTAAAATCCCTCATGGAACGACAATAATAATAAAAATAATAATAGTAATATTAATAATACTGGGACACACTACAAACGAAACATTTGGCAATAAACATTTTTCTTTTCGTCATTTTTCCGTTTAGTCAGTCCAATCCAAATATGAATTGAATTCCCCAAATGGAATTCTCATTTGAATTGAGGGATGCGCCATTCGCTTCATGACAAAAATGTTCGAACAAATGCTTTAATTGCCGTTCGACATAATGGGCAAGCCGTTACACTCGGTGCGCACTGCACACATGTCACTGCAAAAAAAGAATTTAAAACTTAATGAATAATTTGTTGCAAAATAAATTCGTAACACGATTGATGAAAATCACAAGTTCAAAGACGAACAACAACAACGACAAAAAAAAACTCACCTAAGTGACCGCATGGCAAGAAAACAACGGCTACATCGTCATCCATGCACACTTTGCACAGTCGTGCGTCTTTCAGCTGACGATTTTCCTCTTCCAATGAAAGTTTTTTCTGCAATTGAAATAAAAAAAAAAAAATTCAATCGTCGCATGAAAAATTCTGCAAACAACAATTTAATGCGAGGAAAAAACCTTGCAATTTCTCTCCGTGATAAGCGTTGTATGTTGTTTACTTACGGTTTGGCTGTTATCAATGCCCGTGCCACTACCGCTGCTCTCAGCATTTTTGCTACTTGTTCCACTGCAGCCGCTTGCGCTGCTACTGGTGCATGTTTCAGGTACAGATTTTTCCGCAGCCGATGCATCATTTTCAATTTGTGTTGTGGAGTCTTTTTGTGGTGAAGCTGTGCTAGCCTCTATCGTTGCTCGCGCTTCTGAAATACTTAAATAGTTCGATGGTTCACTGTTGCTGCTGCTGCTGTTACTGCTACTGCTACTGCTCGTGGACGTTGCCGTGGATGAATGGATGGCTAATTGGCCCAAATGTGATGGCGTATCAAGAATGACAAAATCATCGGTGCCAGTCGATAACAATGATGACGACGATGAATCGTGATTATTATTGAATATCGTATCTAAAATTCGGCCAACTTTAAATAGAACATTTGATTAGTGTTATGTGGTTATTTTGATGTTTTTGATTATATAGCATACGCGATACGTGATGACTTTGATTGCAAAATACATACACAATGACTCACCAATATGTGAGAAAGAATGAAAAAACGCGTTTATTGGTATTTCACAATCATGTGTCATTGTATCCTCCCACCAATTTGATAACAATAAGTATTACACCATGCAACAGCAATGATGTAAATGAAAAAGATTTTAAAATTGCAATTCAATCAATACATACCCTCTCTAACAATGGCCGAGCTACTTTGCTCTTCGTCGTCATCGCCATCTTCTAAGCTCTGTTGTTGCTCCTCTTCGCGTTGGTAGTCCAACACCGATTCGATTAGGGCTTCGGCACATTTGAATGGGCTACCAAAACGTTCTAAATGATATTTGGTAACGGCTCGTATTCTTCCCTCGCTCAAACCCATCGATAAGGCTTTCTGCACGGGTTCACCAGACATCGCTTCATCCAGAGTCGGTTTCGATTGTTGCTGCACTTGTTCGATATACTGTGGACCTTTGACCAGTTGAACGAATTCACATTTTGGGAACCATCGTGCGTGTTCAAACCAAGCATCATCTTCACGCTGCCACGATCGAAGTCCACCGTTGCATTGGAAGCATAGCACTTGGTCATCGGTATTAGCATAATAAAAACCAGCGGTGGCCAGTGTTTCAGGCGATTGAACCGAGCTTCTAGGCCAATTGGCAAACGACCGTAGCCGTGCATCCAATGAGCTGTATCGTTCTTTTTTCGGTGCACGTATTTGTTGAATGCCAAGCGAACGTATCGATTCTTCCGTTTGAATTTCGACATTTGGACCGAGCTGGGCTCGTGGACAATTCGGAAAGAATCGCAAGTGTTCTGTAAATGGATTGTCGCCAACTTCCCATTTTGCAATCACACCTTGACACCATGCGCATCTCACATGGTCCGTATGATTAAAGTAGTAAAAACCAGCTTTAGCTAATGATTGTGGCATTATAAATGAAACCTAAGAAGGACAAAGAAAATTCGCCATAAGAAACATTACTTTCGGAAATCGTACAAAAGTTTGAAGAAGAAAAAAAAAACTACGGCAATGCTTACAGGCCAATTTGCATAGGTAGTTAGGCGACATTGTTCGTTCATGAGATCATTTGCGGGTAGTTCCGATGTAGACGGTTGCATATTATTCATTGGAACATTGCCCGAACCGGTCGGATTTGTGATAAATGGACAGTCTGGCTTCAATCGACGATGCTTTCCCATTACCTGTAACAGCTAAACGGTTTTTTTACTCGGTTTTTATTGTTGTCCACTTAAAAATGTTTGAAATTCAAAATTACCTGATCACCATAGTCCCATTCGTTAATTTTTAAGCCACACCAGTGACATTGTACTTCGAGACCATTTCCAGTGGCGAAAAAGCCACTTCTCGCCACTCGGTGAGCTTCAACGGGCGCATCTTCGGGCCAATTGGAAAATGTCTGCAAACGAATCTCTTCCACATTCATTTCGTCTCACTTTCTTCTTTTATCTTCGTCAAAACTGTTTTGAAAGAAGAAGAAGAAACAAAAAGAAAAACGCACATTCTTTAGATGCAGCCCGCAGATTGTTTGCTGTTCATGTGTTTGAGATAAGTGCATTTTTGCTATGGAATATCGATTTTTCCATTATTACTTCTTTTTTTTCGCCCTCAAATTTGTGTGCGAACATTTTGTTTAACACATGAAAGTGCAATTTACAACGTACTTGTACAGTGTAAGTTTTACTGTGGATATATGAAAGGTTCACGAAAATCAGCAAAGAGATGTAGCGGGAGCGAACGAGAGCGAAGGAGAAAGTGAGAGAGTTCGACCAACTGAATAAATGCGGCTACGAATGAAACGGAGACACTGAAACCAAATCATGGAGAATGTTTACCAGAGTTACAGAGCACCAGAAGAAAACAAAAAAAACAACAACGCTTACATTCGCGCAACGATAGCGAACGAGAAGGGCAAATATGTCATACATATTCGTGCTACTATATACATACACTTCTTTATTTCGCTTCTTTTCTTTTCATTTCATTTCGCTTCTCTCATCTTATTGAAAAGTTTATTAACTTGAATGCCATTTGTTTTTGCAATGCTTTGAATTTATATTTATGCTTTGCAGGGGAACCATATTCCCTGTTGTTGTTGTTGTTTGCTTTGCACAATATCTAAACACTTCTTAGAAAAACGAGCAAATGTTCATTTATTCTTCTACTTACGATATGATTAATAATCCATAGCTGTGATGAAATCGACTGAATTCAGGCAAACGTTGCAGAAAATCTTAACGTGTGCGAAATTTTCGACGATTTTCGTCTCTTGCTTCTCACAGAATATTTTTTTACAATTTTATCACTTTTAAAAAGTTGAGCTAGCAAAAGAGAATGCGACCGATAATTGAATTTGTTTGAACTATTGACACGCGCTGAAATCAAATTGGTTTTTATTGTGAGTTGCGACACTTCTTATTCACTCAATGAATAATATTAAATCGATGATGATTTGATTTGATTTTGGTCTCAAATGACGAAGTACAATTCAATGAAAAATCAATTTATTTCTTTTTCACTTTGGTCTTTCCCCCGTCGTCACTGATTACAAACTTTCGTTTCGAAGAATTTTGACGTCTACCATTGACTAGCTGAATATTATTATGATTGACCCATTAAACGGATGTGCAAATTTTTATTTTATCTCTAAACAATTTTCGGTTTTTGTTTCTTTCCCGCACAGTGTGTACTAAATATTAAAACTATTTTTTTTAAAGAAGAACAAACACTGTTTTCAAATGAATGCCACGCACAATTTCAATGAAAGAGATTTTCTTTTATTGCGTTCATCTGCTTGTGGCTTTGGCGTGTGTCAATGTATTTCCGCAACAAAATTTCAAGTGAAAAATCAATTCTGTAAAGAATTCGCTTGGGCACAAATTATTGTTGTAGTTATGAGAGAGCAACAAAAATGCTCGTTTCTCAGCCTCTGATGCTATGTTTGATACGTTTTTTTTTCTTCTTTTTCTCAACTAGGAAAACGAACAGAGATGATGATGAGACGAGAGAGACAGGAAAAAAAATATCACTGCGAAATATTATTGTTATTACACATTCCATTCGGTTTGTGTGTATGCGATTTGGCGTTACATTTACACATTACACCGATACAATACATTGATGAGATGCATACCGAAAACCATATGGATGTAGGTCATTTTATGGCCACCGATGGCGCTGCGTGCAACGACGAAAATGACTTCAGGAAAAATGCGAATCGACCAAATTGATTAAATATTCAATGACAAAAGTCTAAAATTTCGGTAAAAAATATTTAAAATTGAATGGAAATCATCAAAGCAGGCAGTTTTGCTTTATTTTTTTGATTTTTCTTTCGAAAAGTTGTACAAAATTTCGTTATGGTTTGATATGAATTTGAAAAATTGCGCCATTTTATCATGCAATTTGTATATGTCACCGAGTCAGTTCTATGTGGGCTGTAGTGACGTTTTAAATTTAATTTTTGATTATAACATTCAGTAGTAAAATCATCCATTTGATTGCGATATCAACACCATAATCATTCATTTTTTTTTATCCCCTTGCGATTTTTTTCCATCTTTAGTATAATTTCGCTTTGGTCGGAGTGAGTTGCATTTATTTTGAAAATCATTTACATTTTACACGCCGACAAAATGTATCGTTCATCAAATGTAAGTATTAAAATCCGTACATTTTATTTTCGAGTGTTGAAATTTAAGTTGTTTTGATCGGTTGTTATCTATTTTTGTCATGTTTACCAATTCGTTTAGAAAATCCTAGTTCAGACGATGGTGAATTTCCGACGTCACTTTTCGAATCAACGTTCAGCCGTCTTGAACGAAGTGGTTATTCTTGATGCGGTACGGACACCAATTGGCAGCTTTCAAAGTAGCCTATCTAGTCAGTCGGCAACACAATTGGGTGGTGTTGCTGTGAAGGGATTGCTTGATCGAACAGGCATTGCACCTGAAAAAGTCAATGAAATTTATATGGGCAACGTGTGCTCGGCTGGACTTGGTCAGGCACCAGCACGTCAGGCAGCTATTTTTGCCGGATTACCGGAGAAAACCATTTGCACAACGGTGCACAAAGTGTGCGCATCGGGTTTGAAAGCAGTCACATTGGCCACTCAAACGTTGATGCTCGGTCGTCAGGTTATTGAACTAAGCAATGAATTCCTTTTGAATTCATTTGAAAATTTCTTGCTTTTCAACCGACGAGAATAAAAATTGAACTGTTCCATTTTATTTTTATTTCAGAATGTAATTGTAGCCGGTGGCATGGAATCAATGTCAAATGTGCCGTTTTATCTGAAACGCGGGGTCACACCATACGGTGGTGTGAATTTAGTCGATGGCATCGTTTTCGATGGTCTTACTGATGTCTATAATAAATTCCACATGGGCAATTGTGCTGAAAACACGGCCAAAAAATACAACATCACACGTCAAGAGCAAGACACATACGCAATCAACAGCTACAAACGCAGTGCTGAGTCGTGGGCAAAGAATTTATTCAAAGATGAAATCGTTCCAGTTACAATCAAACCGAAACGCGGTCCAGAAGTGGTGGTTAGTGAAGATGAAGAGTACAAACGGATTGATTTCGATCGCTTTGGAAAATTATCAACGGTATTCCAGCGTGAAAATGGAACTGTAACCGCTGGCAATGCATCAACTCTCAATGATGGTGCATCGGCATTGCTATTGGCCACGGCTGATGAAGCCAACCGATTGAATCTGAAACCATTGGCTCGTATTGTTGATTTCCAAGACGCTGAAACGGCACCAATCGATTTCCCCATTGCACCGGCATTGGCCGTGCCTCCTTTGCTCGAACGCAACAATTTGACCAAGAACGATATCAGTCTGTGGGAGTTCAACGAAGCGTTTGCTGTTGTCATTTGCGCAAATGGAAAGATTCTCGACATTGGAATGGATCGGGTCAATGTGCGTGGAGGTGCCATTTCCCTTGGACATCCAATTGGTAAGAAAGTTTAAGAAAAAATCGTGTCTGAAATCAAGCAGTTACGATCAGAATTATTTTCGAAATTAGAACTAATTCATTTATTCCGTTTGTTTAGGCTGCAGCGGCGCTCGAATTCTCACAACTTTGGTGCACGCCTTGAAGCCCAACGAATATGGTGTGGCTGGCATTTGCAACGGTGGTGGCGGCGCAACAAATGTTTTAGTCCAAAAATTGTAAGAGGAAAATTACCTGGTGCTAGCATTTTTCAAGATCTTGTAAATTTTTTTTATCGTTTTCGTTCTTGTTGTTTGTGTAGTAATTTTAACTTTTCTTGCATTTCAATCGATGGAAATAAAATAAACTGGTTTTTGTATTTTTTCTAATGGGACCCATTTTCATTTTCTTATTCATTCAATCAACCGAAATGTATAGATCCGGTGATGATATTAATATGCAAAGCAATGCATTGCAACAAAAGCCAATTTTAACGCTATACACAAAGTATCCGTGCCCGTTGTGCGACGAATTAGTTGGAGAGTTGACACCGTTTATGCATCGATTGCATTTAGAAAAGGTTGACATTACGAAACCAGAAAATCGTCAGTATTTCAAACAGTATCGTTACGATATTCCCGTTTTGCATATCAACGGCGAGTTTTTGTGCATGCATCGACTGGACGCAGAACTTTTAGACACTAAATTGAACGAATTACAAAATGCAAGTGGATAAAATCAAAATTCATGAACTGGAAAAAGAAAAATATTTTAAAGAGGGAATATTCTGCAGTTATGAGAAAAATTTAAACAAATCTGAAGGAAAAAATGTGATGCATTTTTCTAAAGAGTCATTGTAATTTAATAAACCTTCGACTATGGTATAAGTAAATTTTAAGCTGTAATACAAACTAACCGTTACAAATGTTCTACAAATAAATGGAACTATAGTGATATATACTAACTTCATATATGAAGCACTTCTATCATCTGATGCAATTCTTAGTGCGGATTCAAAGTCCGACGTTTATCGCTAAACTCTTTCAATGTATATTGCCACCTAGAATGAGTGAAAAAAACACTCGTGTTGCTTTTTTGAATAGAGTACGAGAAACACAAATAATAAATGCCAGATAAATGCGATAATTTTCAATTTTTTGAATGAAGTGGACACAATCAATCAAAGCGAACGAATGCCGATTCCGTTAGAGCCCTCTTGTTGTGTGCCGCACATTGATTCATTTAAAATTGGTTGTTCTTTTATTTTAGGCCATCGACACAAATAATTACATTTCGGTTTTAATTATAATCAAAGTCAGTCTCATTCATACATTTGAATACATTGAAAAGAAAAATATATTTTGCGCGAGTTTCATTCTTAAGCCGTATTAAAAAATTACATTTTTTTTCCATACCATGATCTTATATTTGAATAGAACATGGGCGTTACAATAGCTTCATCCCGTGCTATTCACTTTCCGAAGTTTTGTTGAACTTTGCAAGAGTACATCCGATGAACAGTAGATTCTTGGCAATTAGAACATATAGCATGGAAATTCTAATATCAATTTCGACTACAAAACACGTTCAACACTTCAACGCAGATGCCAATTGTCCAGCATTGCTGTATCTGACTATAGCAAGTGTTGCTTTTTATTGCTGCTTCAACTCAACACTTGTAATGAAAAAAAAAATGTGAAAAGCCGCCCAAAAGCAAAAACTGACTACAAAACACTCGAATAATAAAGAACAATGAATGTTTGAGAATGAATGGAGTTTGGCGCAATAGAAATTGATGCGAGGCGAGAAGAAAAAAAAAACCCATGAATTTTGAATGCTAAATTTTTAATTTTTGTTTTTGTTTGAGATTTAATGATGGTGTGTTTCGCCGCATGAAAATAATAATAATAATAAACGACATAGCGACTACGTTCAATGGAATTGCTGAAATTCTTTTGACGTAGAATTCTATCACGATCGCTGTAACCTTTCGATTTGGATCTATTTTTGGTAACGAGTTGTCGTGATCATTTCTGAAGATCATTTCTAAACAAAATGACCGATAGTATTCCGTTGAACCCAGAAAAATTCATTTGGAGATGTATACAGGTGAATCATTTTAATGGCTAATAACTTTTTTATTGATCAATTTACAATCATCGCGAATCGATAATCGTTTCAATCATTCATAATTCGGACTATTAAAATAAGAACTATAGTTAGACATATATGTTCGGTCTATTTCTTCTTCATTACATGCTATGGCTCAACTTTTGATCCCTAAGTAGAAGTGTGGCCCATTGCAAATTTCAACACTGACATTTTCTGCATCGATGTGTGGAGAAATAAGCAGTTGCCAATTTGAATCTGTCTTGTTAATCACGATCGCTTTTGAATAATCTGACTTTGACTAATGGCTTGTGAAGTGGTAATTTGGCGATCGATTGAGAAATCTTGTTTGCGATCTGACCGATTTGGTCGGTATACGAGCGCAGTGCTTCTATTTCATGTAATCCATCTATTATATTAATGTTGAGGGATCGATTCCCTTTGGGCGAACGGAATGTGTGTTGCTTTTTTTTCGGTGGAATCCGAATTACCGCATAATAATTATTTCAAAACAAAACTATGGATGGGGTTTTGGTCACGACATTGCACGGTGTCAGAGGCGGCGGTGGCGGCGACGACCACAACGGCATCGATCGATTGAGAATTCATTTATGAAATACTGATTTCAGTTTGATGGCTGTGAAATGAAATTTTCAGCTGCGGTGGAATGTAACAATCGAAAATTATGTAGATTAATGAACGAAGAAGAAATGGATTACTTAACAATATGATGATGGTGAATCAACTTCCACCATCGCCCAATACACGAGCGAAAAAAATGAAGAAGAATAAAACTGTACGGTTTCGGCCACACTTCAGAGCATCCATGGATCGAAATGTTCAGTTTTCCACTTTCGTTCAGCTGTTCAATCTCGGATTCATGCATCGCACAAAATGAAACAGCAACAGCAACAACGGCAGCGGCATCAACAATTCATTCAAAGGTAAATAACTGGTTTGAAGTATAACGAATTTGTCGTGTACTTTCAAAATCGTTCAGTTCATAGCATCGTCTTTTGATTTTACTCTCTCGCCTCTCTGTGGCCGGTTTGTGTTTGTGTCACGATGTACTTAAACCGTATCATTTTAATACACTGCGAATATGAAATAGAATCCAATTGGGCCTGGCATTGTGAATCTTTGTGTGTCTTCGTCTGCACACACAACAGTTCACAAAAGATGACGAAGAAACTGAAGAGAAACACAGCAAAAAAAATGTGTACACGGTAAGTCATAAGCGAATCCGATGTGTGCGGCGCAAGCAAAATTCACATATCCATCGATGGCATCGTCGCCGCATGACTGTGTTATGCTGCTCTTTGGGAATGGAACGCTGCGACACACACCAAAAAATTTCAAAGAAACAAACATAATCCAAACAATGCGAATTTGATTGCTATTTTTGGTAGGGCTCTTGCAATATTCCACTTTTTTCCTTTTATGTGTAAGTATTTTTCAATCTCTGTGAAGTGAGTGAATGAGTGAGTCCAAAAAATCGTGTCTGTTTCGAACGGAAAATCTGCATGGAAAAAACCATACATCGAAACGAAATGACCAGAAGAGACGAAGAAGTCAGCCGAGTGTAGAGAGAAAAGCGTTTGTTGTGTGCACCACAGTCACACCGCGATCACGGACCAACCGGCTCACCGAATGCGCGCACCTACTCTTCGGTGAAAAGCATACTGTTTGCTTCGGTTTTGTGTTTTTGTTATTTATTCACTGCTTTTTTTTTGTTTCGCTTGCTTCCGCTTGAGCAATGTTGAGCTGCAAAATGTAATGATGTGTGTGTGTGTGCGGAGCATATACTGGTGTCGGTTTGAGAATGCTTTGCCATTTTTAATATTCGAGTTGAAACTTTGTTTGGGACCGTTTCTCTATGTGTGTTCTTTCTTCTTCTTCTTCTTCTTTCGTTCGTTCGTTCGTTCACTCGCTTGCTTGCTTACTGCTTTGTTTTTTTTGTTTTGTTATTATTCTCCAATGCGTTCAGCGCTGCTGTTGCCGATCTTTCGCGCAAACAAATGTACGCATAGAATCGCGCACACAACTACATCGAACCACGCATTATTAATCCGAGACAAGCGAGTCGTAGCATTTCTGCTGGCGGTTTCTTCACGCAGTTTAAGTCTTTCTACTTAGCTGACTGGTCGGCTATGTACGGACGCCGCGATCTTATTCTCTTTATGTGACTGTTTGTTTTGTGTGTGCATTTTTGTTACTCTCGATCCAATACCTTCAGTTCATCCCATTGTTTTGCTTTTTTTGCTTTCATCGTCGTCGTAATTTTGTTTTTCGTTCGGTTTTCATTTTCGTATATGGTCAACGAATGTAGTCGTCATTGGTTGCAACATAAACTCATTTTCGGCTCTTGTTCTCATTCAATTCCATACAGTAAGCACTAATCTCGTTGTTGTTTTTTTTTCTCTTGTTGACTTAAAATGAACATTTGCATTTCGCTTTGTCAGAACTTTCACCAAAATAGTTCTTTTTTGGCCGCAACGGAATCAGCGATTGTGAAGCATGATTTTTTGTTCGTTTAAGTTGTCGTTAGCTTTGCCTTTCTTCTCCAAAAATTAAAAACAATGAACAGTTTTCGGACAAAGTATATTTGAGAGATGGAAAAGAAGCAATTGAAAGGAAACAGACCCATCGTTTTGTCAATTACTTTGAGTTGTGTACAAATATGGAAAAACTCGATGCAATCACAAAACATAGTGATTATCGTTCGATAATTTGATGCCATTGATAAAATGCTGTTTGCATTTGCTTCGCGCTATGTGTATCTATGCCAATATTGTGCGTAAGCTGAATTCAGCACCTTTATTATTTGTTTATTTTTTCTGCTTCTAAGCATTACGCTGGTTTTTAATTAGAATTTTATGTAAATGGTGCTATTGAATCTTGCGCACAATTTCTCGTGCAATGTTTCAAGTGCAAAAATGTGCATCGTTGTTGTTGTTTTGTAATTTTCTTCTGAAAATCTTGCTCCCCGTTGCTATTTTGACTGGTGTTTGAACGTGATGTGGAGTGTGTTTTATGCTTGCTCGTTCGTTCGTTCATTCAATCGTACTTTCAAGTCGTAGAGTCATTTGCTGCTCATTTCTAATGTTCGTGCTCTTCTAATGTTCATATTGTTTTCTGTTTCAGCTTGTTTCGTTGTTTCCAGTGCATGAGAACTCCAAAGACGATTTGCGCAAACAGCAAATTAATTCAGTGTTACTGATTGTTGTTCTACATTTTTTTCTACATCGGTTAAATTTGGTTTCGCGTACATCGAGTTGAGTTGCTTTGGTGTGCATGTGCGTTGTGTATAGTGAAACATAAAAAAATAAAAGTCATCATCGTATTGCAAGCGTACTCAAAATACACACACACACCTGCGGCTCATTTGCAACAGATAATGCAATTTGAGTGATGGCAAAAAAGAATCGCAGAAAAAAAAACGGAAACACCACAACATGATGGAAATGGCTTGCTAGAATGTTAAAACATAAAGATACGTGACGAGTAGACGGTAGACGAAAATACGAAACGAAGCAACAGCAGCAACCGAAGAAGAAGAAGGCAATCATATTGAAACGCTGATAACTGCCGTCTTGTTTATTGCGAACCCAATTCGGTACGAATAAACCGTACGCGCGCAATCATATACTAATCATAGTGAATGAACAACGAGTTCTTAACACTCTCATGATGTGCTCGCGATCAGGTTGATCAGTGTGCGCATATGTTATATGTGTGGCAGCTGTGTGGCAAACAGTTCCAGAACCGTCCTATTTGCAAAAGTAGCTCATCTCAAAATTGTTTGCAAGAATAAACAAAGTAACATAGAGCGAATCGAAAAAAACGAGACGAACAAGTAGTAGAGGAGACGATACAACGAAGAGGCAAGTGTTTTTTGTGTATCGCGAGAGAGAGAGAGAGAGAGAGAGAGAGAGAGCGCGCGCCTATTAAAAACGGATCACATTGAAATTGGTGATTGAAAAAAGAAGAAGAAGAATTCGCTGATGAGATCTGCGGCGCTGCACGTTTTCGGCGGAGATAACTAGTTATCGGTAAGTACATAAAACTATTATCTGTTCGTTTACTATAATACATCTTGAAAGCAAGCAGCGCTCGGCAGTAAAAATGAAGCTCAAACCGAACGAAAAAAAATGCATTTCCTGACTTAACGAAACTCTAACCGACATCATTTCGTCATTATCGATCGAATGGCAAGCAATGCATTGCAATTGCCACGATGCTGCCTATTACAATACAAAGAAATAATATGGATAGACCGAATGAGGTAGAAAGCTCTTAACAGGCCAAGTAGATCAGATCCAGAAAAAGACCATGTAAATATTCCACGCCACTCTCGGATTCTATTCGGAATTGTTGACATTAAATTGAAGTCGCTATTAATGCGACTCAATTTTCAGAACACGTTTAACGGCAATCGATTCAACGATTACAAGTGATCCATGCGATCGGAGCTTGGTGCGCGCGTACCATCACGTAAAAACCGTTCCAATCATCCATTTGAATAGTAGTTACAGTTTTAACTTCTTACCTATTTGCTTTTCCTTCTTCACTTCATAACGCTCACCATCGATTCATTCTGTTTTAACATCATTTTCTCCCGTTTTACACATTCAACATATTCAGTAAGTCGCATCGAAAACAAAGAAAATCGCAAGCATTTATTACCGTTTATTGTTTTCAAGCAAAAGCTACTTTTTGAGTGTGTCAGATCAATGTGTCTTTCTCTTCCTCACTCTGTGGCTCTCTCTTACTTTGGTCGACGGCAAGATTACGCATCCTAACATTGTGAATGCATGAACAACATAAATCGACACGCACACAGGCAAACTTCAAATGCCGCGCTTAAATCACGTTCAATAGAAATGAGCTTGTGCAGTGTGTAACAAATTCTTTTCACGCGCTCATTAATTATAGTGTTCTTTTGTATTCAATTATCGCATAATTATTGTAAAATTGTACCCAGTGCCCTGGTAATTGAACGTCACAAACATTTATTGACGAATGCTGCACCGCAGTAGCAGTATTCAAGTACTACCGTGATTTCTCTTGCGTTGAAACACCTCATTCGATTTCTTGAACTCTCTGTCTCTCTCTCTCGCTGTCTCTATTTTTCGGGTTGATTTGTTGAGAGTTGCCGCGAAGTCTCTATCAGATGGAACAATCGGCCATATGATCGCAAAGTGTATGTTTGTGTGCACGAACGTGATTAATGCATCATGTTTTTCTTCCGCTGACATTCGCATTATTGTTAAATACAAACGCAACACGATTAAAAATTCATTTTTCCCATCATTCTAATTTCTCGGAGGCATTTCGAGCGATATTTAAATTGTTGTTAAGCGCGTAATAGTTTTCTCTGTTGCCTGCTGCTGCTGCTGCTCATTTGCGTTTTGCGAGACTGTGTGCGTGTGTGTGTGTGTGTGTGCGCGAAAGCGTCTGATTTTGAATACGGATATGAATAAATAGACCGATGAAACGTTTTTTTTTACTATTGGCAGTCACTTTCAAGAACAAGATTTTAATCAACAAGCCATTTTTTGCTGTCTGCCCATGTATGCGTGTGTATGCTGAGGTATATATATTTTCGAAACTATGTCGCATCATTTCATGGATTTATACTTAACGGTGCCGTTGTTGTTCATCATCATCGATTCATTTTCTGATTTGCCGAAAATAAAATGAAAAAAAAAAACAACAACAACACCACGTATCCAAATTGATAGATCCATTTAAATGAAGCGAGTAAGTCGAAGGTACCGTTGCACACATTGTACGAGACTTGAACCAGAAAAAAGACGGTTAACGGATTTCTATTGTAACATCTTGGAGCTTTATGTCTGTTCATCTGCATGCGCACGTATGAACCAACTGAAAGATTCTATGGTTTTTTGTGTGCAGTTAAAGAAAAACATCATCGCGATCGCGGTTTTTTTTCTCCTCCGATGTTTAGTCTGAATTAAGTTAATTGCTTTTAAAATTGCTCATTTTTCGACGGTTTGTTAAAAGATGACATTAAACATTTGTGTCGCTCTTTCAGATTGATTGTCACACTTGAAAAAGGGAACAGTTGAATGACTGTGTGGCGGAAAAAAGGCGACAAATCCAAATTGGAAAACAAAATTCGAAATGAACACGAACAGTTGAGATAAATGGTTTGGGTCTTAAGCCAAATTGGCTTTTTCTTCATATCTAAATTCGTGTGTATCTGAATTGCGGCCACATGTTATTTTCATATTCATTTAATTTTGAAATTTTGAAACTATTTCGTTGTTTTATGTGTGCACACAATATGATTCGTGAATTAGATTTGTTTTTCTCGTATGTTTTTTTGCTCGATGTTTTTCATTCAACGCTCATTATTATTAATAATTTCAGTCTTAACATAGACGAAATGTGGAGAGATGGAGAAAGAGAGAGAGAGAGAGAGAGAGAGAGAGAGAGGGAGAAAAGCCCAAAATTACGATGTTTTATATCCATAACTTGGTTTTTCCCCTGAATTTTAACGTATTTTTCTTCAATTTTTTGAGAAATCGCTTTTGATTTGGTGTTTGATTTGTAAGCTGAATCTTTTTGCCTATTCATTGTGTTCAAGTATTGATCAAATCCAAGCACGAAAAAATGCTGCGCTTTTCACGAGAATTTTTTTCTTCAGAAAAAAAAATCGTTTTATTTTCACGGTACGGGATTAAATGATTAGTGAGTATTTGTTGTTGTTGTTGTTGAGTATGCTATCGTTTCGTAAATCGTACACTGAAATCCGTTGCACAAACTCAGACATGCGCATATATATATATATATATATATATAAAATGTATGCCTCGATCGGTGAGCTGCCGTCATTGGTGAAAAGAGCATTGCCTGCCCATCATGCACACACATACACTTTTGTACACATATCATGATTAGCGGTTGTAACGTCCGAATTGTGTGTTTTTTCATGTCAGTTTTTTCTCTCCATCTTTCATTTCACTACTTTATTACAAAAAACTATCATCATCTATTACATTTGTGATGGATTTGATGTCATAAAATATTGGATTTTATTAGCTACTACTGAACATGCACAATGAATGCTTTGAACGGCAAAGCACGTGTGGATTTTCAAGAGCATATATGCTGTTCGTTCACCCATTACGTTTGAAATTATATTGGATCGCTGAGACAAGAAGCATTCGCTCGTTTGGTCGCTTTATCCGATCTGGCTCGTTCGTTGTGTAACTACTTTTTTGGCCCGATAATGAGGAATGCAAGCAGTAATAAAGCAGCTTATCATATTTGAATGTAGTTTTTTTGTTGAACCAATGCATTTTATCTATGATTCATATTGAAGTATGACCCAACCTCTTTCCGTTTTCGTATTTGTCTTTTTCGGTGTGATTCTCGATTTTTCGTTGTTTTTCTTTCGTTCAAATACCACGAAATTTCCGAATGTGTCCCCGAATGCGGCACAGTTTTATTTAGGTCGGCTACATTGAGTAATTATTACACGTGAAAAACGCAACAATTTCAAGTATTAATGAATAGTCAGAGTAGCCCGAGACAGAATGAAAGAGAGAGAGAAAGAAGAAGAAAACAAGAGGAAACCTATTGCATTTTATCATGATTTCGTATGGGATTGAAACTTGAGCTGAGCGATACACGTAGGCAATGGTCGGTCATAGAACAAATTGAGCGTGTCGCGCCTAAAAAGTCGTAATCGGTTGTTTGTTGGAGATTGTTACACAATCGATACAAATTCCAATCCACATCAATCACCGTAATTGGAATGAGAGCGCGCGCGCGCCTGGCGAATGAATCATTTTCATCCATTTGTCCAACGAGTTTCAGCGGAGGAATGGAACAAAATTATAACATTATTCTCCTTTTTCGCACGCTTGCTCTCTTTTTATCTTCCTCTTGCGGCCGCCCGCTCTTGATGAACCGTTATCAGTATTTTTCTACTGGTCCCTACTGTTTATCGTAAATAATTCATACACTTAAAATGGCCATCCATCTCGACCGTAATCCACCGAATGGTGCAAATATGGATGAAGTACACGATTTTAGTTATTCCATTCGGATAGAGCAAGACCGATGGGATCGATGATCGCAAAGCGATAGAACCATTCGAATGGAGTACATTCCTATTGAACATTTGCAAGCAGTTTGTTTCGCCGATCATATTTATTTGTCATTGTTTGTTGGCTCGTTCGCATGGCTGTTCTCAGCTGCATTTAATTGCAAATGTGCGTGCGTTTTCTTCTTCTTCTATTTCTTCTCTCTGTTTTGTGCCATGTTTTACTGTTATTCATGCATATATGCGTTGCTTGCGCACACCACATCTCATTTGTGTGGTATGTTTGTTATTGCAGCTCATGTTGTACATGTTTTTTACACTCATCGTTAAATCCATTTGGCAGCGGCGGCGGTATGGTTATTATGGCTCCTTTTTTTACGGATATTTCACCGGAAATGGTTGGACATGATGCGCACACATTGTGCTTGCATATGCAATGCACTCTTTGTAATGTCATAATCGTTATACTGTTATTATAACTCTATGAGTAATTCTCAATATTGAATGATTTTCGGGGTTTTTCTCTGTCTCTCTCACTCTCGACTGTCGTGCACTAATTCAAAACACAACGACGAAATGAATAATTTTCGAATAAAAACAACAACAACAATAACGAAACAAATATTTACAAACAAACGGAAAAGACGTTTGGATATTAAAAAAATGAGTAATATTGGCACCAACCAGCCAGCATAAAATGGTCTGCATATCATGCTTCTGCTTTGTTCAGCTATGAGGAACACAAACAATAATGCACACAAAATACCAATCCGAAAAAACAACAACAACAACAACTCACAGCATATAATACAAATACAAAATTTATTAATTGTAAAATGGAAAGTTTACACAATAAAGACGAAAACACTAGACATAACATTTCCGAGAGTCGTTTTCTGAGTGTGTGGCTGTGTGTGTGTGTGTGTGTGTGTGCATGAGAGTCAGAGCCAGTGAGAAGGAGAACGGGTGTGTGTACCCAATTTCAATCACGCTTCCATACTCCATATATACGCTTATGACTAAACAATGGGTCTCTCTATCAATGACGAAAGAATCATATTTTGTTTTCTGTTGGTATAAAGAAAAATGCTTTGATCGATGACTGTGACCAAGTGTTGTTTGCAACACTCACACGATCTTTCGGCCCCTGCGATTTCAATCTATTCAGACCGAACTATCTTGGCTACCTATACCGTTCTGACTGAGCGAATCAGTTTAATGACGAAAATCAACAGTTTTACAAATGGACATTTTTCTTCTCGGCCTTTTTTATCGTTTCTTAGACATTTTGGCTCATAGACAATAATTTTGAATGTGTTCATACGTTTTTTTGTTTATTTAAGTGGCAGGTGTAATAATAATTTCTCTCCACCGAAAATGCACCACAAAAACTCTTCCAACAGTTTAATTTATACGGGCCGCAACGATGAAGCCATATCGCCAATTTAAAAAAAACATCTTCGCGAATAATAAATCCATCCGTTTGAGTATATTTTGTGTGCGATCGTCATCATGCAGGGCATATTAATGATTCGGAAACAATTGAATATATACACGAATTGTATGTATTAAAATTTAAAAAAAAAACGTATGAAAACACCGAAAATAATTAAAATTCAGGTAAATAACAATATTTTTTTGGCGCTGGTTCCACCGGCGAATCGTCCGACGGTCCCGACGATCATTCGCTTGGCAGCACCAAAAATTGAATTTCCAAGTAGAAAAACACACACACACACACACACACTACTGGGTTGCTCGATTGTATGCATGGCAAGCGCATTCATTTCGATACAACATGAGCTTCTCTGTCTTCTACCACCGCTTGGCACGTTCAATTTTTTTCGCATCTTCTTCGGTTGTTCGTTTTATGTTTCATGATTTTTGTGAGTTTTTATCGTCATGGAAATCGAACGAGGTACACGCATCGCATAGATCTGATCAAGTGCCACAACGATGTACCACTAATTGATTGCAATATTTTGTTGCCATTCGATGATGTTTTTTTGTTCATACGCAAATCAAATGTCAGTTTTTCTGCATCACACAAACGAATGGCAAGTGTCAGATCTAAAGATCTCATTTTTTTAAGAATAAAATTTCGTTTTCCACAAATAATTCTGCCCCCAGAAAGAAACGCTCCAATCAAATGATTCTCGATTCATATTAAAATCGACAAAGATCGTCACTTGGCATGAAAAAACGGAAAAACCCGGAAAACCAGCAGCAAGAAGTATTTGGGCTCCAGCTTTGGCTTTCTCTTCTGTGGCATTTGCTTGTTTTTTCTGCTATTCGCTAAATGTTGGATTTTTGTGTGTTTGACAAGCGTTCATTATGAATGAATTGAGTAATAGATTTTTTTTTCGTCGTTGATTCACAATCACTGTCATGTTTTTCCATTCATTCACAATAACAAAATTTTTTGCGATGTCAAAAAGAAGTATATTAAGTGAAAGAAACGAGAATAGATACGAAAAAAGTGAATAATATATAGTGTACGTTTGGTTGTTGCTATGTCTTTTTTTTCTTTCTCTTCAATTTCTTCAATCATTTTTCGGAGTGCAGCAAAGTGTTACGAATTCACTGCTGACTAATAGAAAAGAAATCATATCCCAAATCTGCTTTAGATTTTTGACAGCGCGAACAGAGAAACAAAAAACATTCAAGTAAACCTTTTCTAATACGAACTCACTTCAGAGTCACTGCAAAATGTCAATAGAGAAAAAAAGTAGAAATGCTATTCAATTTGCTTGTGTTTTTTTTCTTTCATGGTAAACTTTGACATGAAACTGAAAGAAAAATGAGTGGCCAATTTAGTGTTTATCGCAATTTATGCTTAGCTTTCAGTGAATGTTCTGCCCTGAAAACTGCACACAAACATACAGACACATACACACACATGTATAATATACGCACGATGTCAGAATTCAAAATGGCACAACACTTACGGGGCCGGTAAAATTGGCTTTGGAAACAAGCCAAACGAGTAAGACAGAGTGCTGGCGAGAAATGAGAAGAAAAAAAAACACTAAATGAAGAAGAAGACGGGAGAAAAAGCCGGTAAACACGGTTTCGTTGAGTGAGCGTACATCGCCTTTTGTTCGCAAAGATCATTGAATTCTTGATTTCACCAGGTTTGCTGTTCGCTCGACTCGACTCGAGTCGATTCAATTTATATGTTCGTATGTGCTTGTGAGTTTGTGTCTATTCTGCGCCCTCGAATCGCTTCATTGTATTTTCCATCTCAAGCGATCCGATCAGAAAAAATCATTACAAAGCATTACAAAGCAATACCAACGCACATTCACAAGAATCATTACCTCAATATCGCATCAAACCTCGTGCGAATGAAGCGAAATGAAGGAAAAAAACACATACACGCTATTTAACGATGTGTTAGTATATAAAATGATCTTAAAATTATAATTAAAGTATTTGGTGGCAGTGGAAAAAAAAAGAGTTACAAGCATCGACGAAAAAAAAAAATCGACGAAACATCTCTGGTACATCAGGTAGAATTAAAACGAGCGAAAGAAATGGCAGAAAAAAGAAGGTGAACGAAGTGAATAAACCGAAATGAGTTATTTCCGTTGGCAAATGTTGGATCGACTCTTCTTGCCGGTCATATTTCTATTGGCACACGCAAATTTTTTGATATATATGTATTTTCGGTGCATGAACAATTAATTCATTTGAATCTGACGTACAGCAGAACGTGTGTGTGTCTGTTTTTCTTATTCAGCAGCTGTTTTTTTCTACTTTGATCGCACACTTATCTTGTTCACTTGTTCGTTCGTTCCCTCGCCCATTCCAACCATCTTAATTGATCTCATCTTAATTCAAAGTATTGCGCTCACGCATCATTTTTATTCATTCTAAAGCCATGAAATATTTGAATGGAAAAACACACACTCCGTTTTCAGCTACTGGTGAGACTGAATGGTGTGTTTGAGAGTGCTGTTTGTGTTATGTCGCGGCAATCAATCGATTCGCAGGTGCTAATTGTTGCCCACCGTCACAGAAATATTATTTGAGAGCATTTTTTTTCCATTTTCGGACTCTCGACATACGTATCGATGGCTAGAAGCGTGAAAGTAAGCTTCTATGTCCAATTGAAGATCTACTACTCAATAAACTGTGCACGCGGTGTGTCTAAGCGGTGTTTGAGTTGATGAGAGTGAGTAATTCGCACTGAGCAAATAAAAAAAAATGGAAACATTTGCGTTGTTTAATTAGATCTTGAATAAAAAATTCAGCAATAAACAACAACAGCAACAATACAGAAAATTGACTCACCATAACGATGAAACGACTAGTTTGGCCCGCAGTTTCAGTACAATGATAATTGTTATTGGATTTTAATTAGCAAACTGATGTGTTTTTCTTTCATACGCCAGCAATTTGATTAGCACCAATTTTGCCGTTGGCTAGCATAGGGAAAAAGAATCGATCATTCCTATGTGGCAGAAAAGTGTAGCATAAATAAAACTATTTAAGTATCCGCCTTCATCAAAATTCCCATCATTCTTCTTCCATTCATAAATATTGTCGATTGGGAGAAAAAACGATCTCCACATGAGTGTTTGGTTAATTGAGCCTTAGCTCGAATGTTAAAGGTTTACTTTCGAATGAAAGAGTGCAAGAAATTTTGACAGAGAAGGAAGAGTGAAAAAAAATTTAAATTGTCGACAAAATCGATTTTGGCCAGATCAATGGATATTTAACGTCACGAACACCGCGATTTAAATCAGTTTACAAAAGGCTAAGCCTAACTTCATTTGCCGGTGAGCTGACAAACAGACGAGGAGAAAAAAATATATAACCGTTAGAAATGAGTAGGAAATTTTGAATAATTGTTACACTTTTACGTAACACGCGTATTTGACCAAGGAGAGCAGATGAAGAGAGTAAAAGAAAAAATACAACTAACCTTATATAAGTGAAATGAAGTTGAAACGGAGGAACGGTGCTGTGCTGCTTTGCGCACACAGTATGGTTTCATAGCCGATTAAGTTGCTAAAAATATATAATGCTTTCCTTCTTGACATTTATACTGCATAATGAAAATTTTGAACGAAAAAAAAAATGAATCTAAACCATAATTTTTGTTTTGTCTTCTTCTTCTCCGTGTATTTTTTACAGTAGCAGTGAAAAGTGGATACGAAAACGAGGCGTTTGAAAGAGGGAAAATCTGCGAAGCCCAACCGAGCCGTTTATCGAAAATCGATCGATGGTCGAAAGACGTGCGACAAAGACAAATGTGTGAATAAATACCAGTAAAAACTGTTTGGTGGCAAGAAAAAAAAAAGAACCAGCGAGTGAAGCCTAGCAAATAATCCGCTGCGTACAAATTAGTTGTAATCGTGAAAAAAAAGTTCTACAAGGATTTCTCCTCCACCTCGACATAATCCCAAATGGGTGTATATGAATTCAGGCGATTAGACGTGAATTAAACACAAAGAGACGGAAGTAACGTAGCGAAAAAAAGAGAACAATGACAGAAATCTTCAAGAAAAAGAAAACTGGAATCTTTTGACAGAAAAGAAAAACATAGAGACACAGACCAAATACAGACGCACACAAAGGAGACATCGATAAAAGTACATGGAATGCAATGGATGTGTGCCTTCAAATGTATATTGTAAATAACAATGAAATGCGATAATGTAATTTGATGTATTTAAGCATACGTTCATGTACGTATAGCGAGACGAAGTGATAAAGACAGAGAGAGATATTGAAATTTAGGCCATTTGTAAATGCTTATCAGTTGTGTGTGAGCGCTCCGAGTTTCGAACAGAGTGTGTTGTGTGTTAGGCTCAAGCGTGTGTTCATTTCTCCAGTTTATCGTTGTTGATATTCTGCTGGTGCTGCGTTAACGAACAACAAAAGAAAGTGTGTGCATTTTATTTTCATTTCTAAAATATCATACATATATATATATATATATATATATATATATTTACGCATTGGTGGGCCTATCGTGGTGGTTTGGCGTGAGATTCCTTTAATTGCTTAATAAAGCAGTTTTGTGGTGTGTTAACAGTTCAGCGTTGTCATCATATCCGCTTTTGTGCGTTGAAATATTACTCATGTCGACCCATTAACAATAATTTTATGTTCGTGAGCTTTAAACACACATACTTGGCCGGGGCCTAGCGCATTGCTATTGACAAAACAGAAGAAGAAAATAAGCGTGTTCATCGCATAAAAAAGAGATCAGACAGTGTTTGACTACTCTCGTGATGTGTTGTGCACTTTATTTGGGCATTGTGTGTGAAGATCGAAGAAGCGCATTTGCAATTCATCGTGCAAAATTAAACAACGAAAATGAGCAATAATACAAATAGTGGTGGTGTTATAATACGTTCATCATCCACGGAGGATGGTAACGAAGCATATGATGCTCGTTTAATTGGTAATCGTATGGAGTCATCGTCGATGAATCGCCAACAAAAATCCGTAAATAATGAGCGGTACGCATCATCGGTGCGTCATTCAGCTGCATTAAATGATCATGAATTTTCGTCGTCCACCACACAAAGTGATGGCAACAGCCATGGTCCACCATTCATCAATGGCGATTTGATTGATTTGTGCGATTCAGTGGTCAATGATCGACGTGAGTATTTAGATGTTGGCTCGAGTCGCGGCAGCGATGGTGATCCAGTTGAAGCAATCAATAGTCAACTGTTGGCCGATATCGATGGAAAATCACATACCGTAAGAGACTGTTATGTATTATACCCAACCAAAGTGTCATTCGACAATACAATATCAGGAACGAAATTAAATCACACGACGAAAAAACTACTGAACAATAGCGTTGATTTGTCGAGTAGTGCGACGCGTTCGTCCGAAACGATTGGCAAATGTAGTGAAAGTACGGCAGCGTCAGCAGCAGCAGCAGCCACAAATGAACAACATCAAACGGTCATTCGTGAATTTAAACGGCTAGGAACGTACTGCACACTTCGACCGGAACAACGGCGAAAGCATTTACTCAAGGTATTGCCAACGTTACGCAAATCCATGCTGTTACAAACATTGCTCGGTTCACATTCATCAAATGCCACCACGAATAGTTCGACCAAAATGAATACAGCCGCTGCCCACACCACTACCAGCAGCAGCTCTAACGAGCTACTAACCACAAACAATGACATCGATTCGCTTCTCATTGATCTGGACGATTTCATAAACGGTAATACGGCGCTCATGCAACGCCACCAAAACAATGAACAATTCACATCCAGCAGCGAATCGATTGCATTAAATTATGATAGTCAAAGCCAAAGATCACTAAAAAGTGATGCCACTACCTCGATCGCATCATCCAGCTATAGTGCGGCCAATTCAAACGAAATCACGGGTAGTTGCATCAAAATTGATCCCGACAAAGTCGAAGATTGCCTACTCGAATTGGACGCCTATTTGGAAGAGATCGATCGTGATTATGTGCTAGCGTGCGCTGCACACGGACCGACTACATCGTCCGCACCATCAACATCGACCGTCTCTGCATCATCACAATCGCTCGGCAATGCAAAGTCGTCGTCGTCATCATCATCAACGAAAATTAGTGCAAGTCTAGCAAATGATTGTTTGGAGAAAACATCGAAAAATCACATTGATCGACTACTTAACGTGGATAATTTGCTCAGTTGTAACGGTGGCAGTGTCGGTTTGTCAGCACAACAAACCAATCAACAATTGATTGACAGTTGCAGCATCAAAACGATGGATGATACACGACCACGACAACAACAACAACGACGATCAACAACGACAATTTGTGGTGGTGCATCGAACTGGCAGCAACCGATTAGCAATAGTGATATTCAAATGAATCAGTGCGGTGCACAGTCAAATGATGCTAGCAAAATAAATGGCTCACGAATAGCAGACAATAAACGGAAATCCAATGATATTGCCAACGATCAACCATTGAAACGTGGACATAAATTACGTAACACAGTCGCTGTATCGGGACACAGTAATGAAGCGATGCGATTGAATGGCGTTGCCGTTTCCAACACCGACGCCGCTACATCACAAAGTGGTAAGTTGGAAATGATTAAGTTTGGTGTGTTTTGTTTTTTTTTCGTGAATATGTGTCTGTGCAATTTCTTTTCTCTTTGTATCGAGGAAACGTTCACTCGTTAATTATATAGAATACCACAACTGTGATTCATTTTTTCAAGCTATAAATCACGGTTTCGATATCTTTTGTTTTCGTTCATTGAGGTCGATGCGAAGGAGAGGAAAAAAAATCGTACATAATATAAAAATAGAAATTACTTGTGTTTTCTTATCGATTTGTGAATTAAAACATGGATTAATAAGTTTTTGGGGCGATGTTCACACCGTGAATGAAAAAATCAATCCAACTAGCATGCCAATGAATAAAATTCCGCAAATCGAATTGTACGAACGGGAAAATGGATAGGTTGTGTTCGTCGTGCACAAGGGGACGCAATAAAATTTTCAATCGCCTCGAAGCCATTCCCATTTTCCCAGCCCACCTGCAAATAAATCACAAACATACACACTCGAAACAAACCATAAATCATAAATAATGTGATCCAGAAGGAAGATTTAGAAGCATTTTATTGAGCATTTCTTGCTAGCGAAAAACAAAACAATCTTGAAAAATACGAAATAAAAGTCATCATTTTCCATTGATTGCACATTTAAATCACACTTTGTGTCGCAAACAAACTTGAATCGCTGCTTTGAGGCTTTGCGTTTTATGGGAAAATGCACCTTAAAAATATTCGATATTTCATTCGATCTGCTTCTTCTTCTTCTTCCTGTTCGATGTCTTTGGACCAGATAATAACCGACGCAATGGCAAATGGGATTGTTCTCAATGCAACCCTAGTGATAATACACCGATACATCAAAATCGGCCCCATAAATGCTCAGTGAAATTAAGTTATGTGCGTCAGTCGCAATGGAATTTAACGCTCGTTTACTAATTCTATATGTGATAAAATATAGTCAACACACCATTGTTCTGTCCATTGTGTTGTTCCTGATTGAATAATATGTGTCGTTCACACTGTCATGAAATGCCAGCGCCAGTACAATGACAAAAACAACAGTAGAGCGTAAAGAAAAAACGAGGAAAAGTCGATGTGATATACCATATACGTTATTGAATTACACAGCATTAGAAATGGTTTAAAAGAATTAAAATGTTTCGCTTGGGGATTGTTTTCCTTTCGTTCGCCTATTCATATTTTGAGAGAGCGGCTACTTTTAATAGCATTTGTAAACATGCGTTAAGTCACTGCGTGAAAGGTTAATGCATTTTCTGTTAATCTCTATCTCTCGCGCTCTCTCTCTCACTCAAAAAAACCAATTCGAACAAAGGTGAACTCGCACGTGTGCAATAGCTGCTTACTTCGTTCCGTTTGTATATCGGTGTCATTTTTTGTTGTTATTATTGTTGTTGACGTTATTTTCGTTGGATGAATCATCATTGTCCATGGCTCACGGAATATGAAAAGTATTTAACGGCATTTCAATATTTAAATGCTTCACGGAAAAAAAAAATACGGAGAAAAAGAAAAGAATTTCTTATGAAACGGCAATTGAATCGATAAAATTCTCAGTCATCGTTTCGAGTGGTGGTTGCTCGTTGTTGGGCCTGCAACTTTGTTGCGTGATTGCTTTCTTCTTTTTGTTCCGTTCATTTTGCCATTCATTAACTGAAACAAATAGATAATTACGTAATCAGCTTGGTCACAAATGTCTTGAAGAACGTTAGCTTTTCTCCGTAGTTTTATTTTATTTTTGTTCGTTGTTACGTTGTTGGTATTGTTCACCTCAGCTAGAGCCAACTAACTAATTACCGTATCACACAAAAGGTTAACGAATTAATAGCGTATACACTCGACCAAAACAAAAAGACACGAGACAGCACGAAAAAAAAGCAGGCAGCAACAGCACTAGCCAATGAACGGCTCATGAGCAAAATGAGAGACCAGAAGGAAAAAAACTAGAAACAAATCCGTACACAAAGACACACATTGTACGAGAGCATGAATATTGTGTTTGGTGTGTTTCATGCACGTGCTCTAGCCAGTGTCTCCGTTTGCTCTGTAATAATCAAGATTTCGCTGAGAAAAGACAACAACCGTACAACAAAACGGACACGAATTTTGCACAGCATTACATTATTATCAATTCCGAATGTCTCGTTAGGTGTAAATTAAAATTGCAAGCCAAGCTACTGGTTATATTACATACACAAACCAAAACAAACAAACAAACAAAAAAAGATCACACAAAGCGATGGGAAAAACGAATTCATTTGTTTCATGATGTTTCTGCTTCTGACAATTTCAGTTGACGATACACCGAAGCGAACGCGACCAAAAAATGCAGCATTGTCTTGGCGTCGTCTATCAATGCGTAAAACATGCCCGATTGATTTGCCGGAGCAACATTCTTCACCAAGAGGTGCAATCCGAGTTGCACGTACATCGTCATCATCGACAGCAACCGCCGCCGCCACCGCCAACCGATCATTATCGAATATGTCGGCCAATGATTTTGCCACCAATACGAATTACACAAGCCTTCAATTGAATCGAACGAATTACGATGGAAATAATGACAATTATTGTTTCAATGAAACAATGCCACCGTCATCACCGGTTGCCGTAACAAATGCTCGCTTGTTCCAATCGAACGTCATCGGTGCTTGTGAAAATAATCAAATGTCAACGCCATCGAATGGTGTTCAACATCGCGTTGATCACGTCCTTTCCAATAATGAATACATCGATAGTCGAAATCAATTGCCCGAACTGAGCTCTTTGAATAATGAATTTTTGAGCACGATTTTGACAACGCCAAATTATCAACAATCAAGCTCAATTTCCGCATCGTCGTTACAACACGAAACCAATTTTGAGCACAACATCGACGAAGAAATTGGCCGAATCACAATCCCGGCGGCAACGGCAGCGACAGCAGCACCATTCGAAGAATCAAGACCGAGACAATTGGGCAGACGGTCTGAAATGCGATCGCGTATCGTTTCAATTACAGCCGAACGCAGTGCCGAAGGCAATCAGGTACACAGCACTCTACCAACTAACGAACAAAAATCACACTGAAAACAAGCGCTATGACGAAATAATCAATCCCATAATTGTGTTTAATGCCATGCAACTCAACTCGTTTCAAATGAGTTTTGCTTCACTTTGACATTCTTCGTGTTTTCATTTTGTGTGTTTGTGTTCATGCTTTTATTTTTTCTTCTTCTACATTTCTGTTTCTCTTAATCGCTTGTTTTGATAGAGGATAATTGTTAATTGCGATACGGATAATGTACAATGTGCCACGCAACCGAGCTGCTCAACGTCAACAAGTCCTTCAAATCATTCAAACCAACCATCACAATCGTCATTGCAGCAGCAACAGCAGCGGCTATCAAATCAATGCCAATTCCCGGCATCTGAACTTAGCTCAGGTGCATCATCGCGCAATCCAAGCCCAGTATCCATTGGATCGAGCAGTGAATCGAGCTCTGGCGGTTCAACATCTGCTGGTGAAACAAATATCGGGTAAAGAGAAAACATAAATTGAATATTTTTAGTTTTGCATAAATTAGTTGAAAAATAGATGAACTTGAAAAGAAGAAAAAAATTGTTGGCAAACAACAAATGTTGAACGACACCGAAATGAAAAGAAAAAAAAAGACCGGCAAACAAGAAACCGGAGTAAGTGTGCAATGTGTGTGTTCAATTGCTTTTATTACCCGTATCGTATACACAGTTCAATCATAGGTACCATATAGATAGCGCAAATGTAAATACAATTAGAATCCCTACGTAGGTTCAATGCAAGACTATTTCAACGAATATTACCGCAATTATTCAATAGAATGAAGATATCGATGCTATTAAAACATAAATTGGAATGGTGAATGTAAGGTGAGCGAAACACATGCGCGCCGACTAGCAACAAACCCTTATTTGTAGTACTTTTTTCACGATTTTCACGTCAAGGGAACCAAACAGCTTGTGCTCATGCACAACACACCGCACTCGCTTATACGGGTGAACATGTTGGTAGTTGTTGGCGGCCGTGTATCGTTATTATGAAGAAAATCCAATTCGATTACTATGCCAACGGACGACGGTCAAAACAAAAGAAAGAACCTGCAAATGAATGGGCACAATGCAGGATATCAATCATGCCGAAGGACTCGCTCGCGTTTCGCCACCACAAACTTAGTCGCAATGCACGAATCGTTTGACGTGGATAACTTGACTACGAATTCGGAATTTTCTTTTCAATGCATTCTTTTCGCTGAACAATTGTCTTATCCATTTCAAGTATTTTCACACTCTTTGTCTCTCTATATTTTGTGAATTAACTTTAAATCGTGAATGAAATCTAAATGTAGAAAGTTTCAAAAGTGTTAAAGTTCAGTGAATTTTTAACAAAAACGGAAAAAATTATGCCACAGTTAAATTGAATTGAAAAACGACGACCTCATTATCATCGATAAAATGCTTCTGATGATAATCGCAATCATAACTGCACTGAAAGGGTAAAACAAATGAAGAACGATAAATTTGGAGGCTCTTAATTGGGAGTCGGTTTTTCGGTGCAGTTCTAGGAAATGTGTGTATGTGTGTGTGAAACACAAACAAACGAACCAGATTAGCATGTCTAATGAATGATGTTTGTTGAAGTCGATGAAAAATTCAGTGTTTGCCAACTTGTGGTTTTTCTTTTAAATCACCTTGGATTTGAAAGAATAAATCATTCAACCGAGAAAAAAAAACCATTTAAATATTTCAATTAAACGAAATGGTTTTTATTCTTTCTTTGTCATTTCTGTGATTAGAACAACACCGCATAGAAGTATGAATGTGGCAGGCGATACGGTAACGTCGGCATCAAATAATCGAACCAACAATAGCAGCAGTAGTAGCACTGCACAACGCCAAATGAATTCGAAAACGACAGTCTGGCCATTCGGTTTCAGCAGAGTATTCGCCGCAACATGCTGTACACTTGGCCTTTTCAACATTTCACGTTTCTCCATTTTTAGTATAATTTTCGGCGGTGAGTTTCGATCGGTTTTTCCTCTCTCTCATTTGAATAAAACATGAACTTATTTAGATTTCAGCATAATTGTGTTGAAAATTAAAATTCATCCAACTAACCTATCCAACATGGTTTTTCCGATTGCAGCCAATTTCATTGTGCAATTTCTGCTGATATCATTTTTCCTCGGTATTCCGATGCTTTGGCTGCAAATGTGCTTGGGCGCAAATATTAAAGGTGGACCGATCTCAATGTGGCGCGTTAGTCCAATTTGCAAGGGTATCGGCATTGCATTGGTGCTGGTCCAAGCGCTGATGACAATCTATTCGGCTGTTGGCATTGCATGGATGCTAGTGTATTTGCGAGATTCATGCGTTGCGGCCCGTTATCCATGGTATCGATGGCAGGAAATTTTTGAATTTTTTCGTGGCCCATCCGATAACGGCATTGCAATTATGTCAAATACGAGTGAACCATCGTCAACATCGTCGAAATTGGGTGAAACGGTTGCCGATTATTTCAATGGTGTGATTTTGCAACGATACCAACTAGGACCAGGTGGACGAGCATCGAATGGCAATGGATTGGGCGCGGTGCGTTTTCAATTGGCATTCAATTTATCCGTTGTTTGGCTCATTGTATTCGTTTTACTGTGCAAAGGTTTGCGATTGTATGGCAAAGTTGTGATTGCTCTTGCGTCACTGCCAATGATCGCACTGTTTGCATTGACCATCAAAATGTTGACGCTACTCAATTTATCCGGATTTCAAAACATTTTCCCCGCTACCGATTGGCAGGAATTCTTCACCTGTAGCCAAAGCTGGCTGTCTGCGGCGCAAGAAGCATTTTTAACATGGGCCCTACTCGGCGCTTCAATCATCTCAATTTTTAGTAAAACGGCAAAGTTTCAACAAGACGGTGACAAAGTGTTGCGACGCGATGCACTGCTTGTGGTTGCGTTTACATTGATCGGCTTGTTATTGGCCGCTATCTTTGGGAATGCATGCGTTCAAATTTTGAATGATCGTGGATTTTTCTATTTTCCTGGTAGTTTTGAGACCATAACATCGTCAGTTTCACTATTGCCATCGAGCAAACCGTTGCCGCCGCAGTTGGCTACCAGTCTATCGAAATGGCTGCCACGCTATTCGACGTTTCTTGGAGAAAGTTACAAGCGCATCGATCCCAACTCATTCGAAAGTGGCTGGCAACCCATCAGACTCATCACCGAAATATTCCCGGCTACTCTGGCAGCGGCAACACTTGACAACGTTTCGTCATTTTGGAGTTTATTGGGTTTCACTATGTTTTTGGTGTTTGGTTTGGCTCAATTGTGCGCCATGTGGAAACCGCTAGCAACATCATTATGTAACTATTCCGAATCAATATCAGCTACATCAACGACCGTGCTTCTGACGTGCATGGCCGGTTTGCTACTTGGAATACCATTGACAACGGAGAGTGGCATCAATATCATCTACTTTTTGGATTCGGTCATCGGCGGCGCATGGTTCGTTCTACTACTTTGGACCGGTCAAATTTTCGCCATTTTCTTGGTACGAGGTCGACCGTATTCTGGCGATATTCTGGTTAATCGTTTGCATCTCGGTTTGACCTTATCCGCTTTTGTGGCACTCTCTTGGAATTTACTACTTCCAATCGGATTGTTGACACTTTGCGTTCTGCAATACAAAATCTCCTACTCGTATGACTTTTATCACTGGAGCGGAATCATTTCGCAGTCATATTGGCCGATTTGGACGCGTAAAGCAGCTGCATTCATTCAGATTGGCATCTTTCAAATCATTCCCATCGCGGCCATCGTGCAAACGTATCGTTATTTGAGCAAAGGACCACCAGACATACTCGATGTAAGATCTTTTTCTTTTGAGTGAAAATTTGATTTTTGTTCCAACATTTTCTTTTCTTCTCTCGAAATTCGCAGCGATTCCAGTTGCTATATCGGCCGCCAATAAGTTCATCGCAAAGATCGCACAGATATCCACTTCCACGAACGGATCGCAACACGCGTGCAACCTCGAATACCAGACAATCAGAAAGTGCAACCGGTTCGTCATCGATACCAGCCATTGGAATTGCGGTAACAATGGAAAGCAATCCAGTGTCGCTAACATTAGACGATGCGCCACCCAAATACACACCACCGCCATCGTACACAACTGCAACTGGTGCTCGAATCGCAAAACTCCTACGCAATAGTATACGGCGTAGTGTTAGAAGGTATAACAACGTCGATCAATTTAAAGAGAATCCTCATTAATTGTTCTTTTGTCATATTTTTCAGAATTTTGGGCGAGCCAAACTGTAATAATCGTCGTCAGCGTGCCCCGTTGCCAACACATACGCTAGAGTCATCGTTCGATCAAAATCCACCGGAATACTCAACGATCATCTCGGCGGCAACCACATCGAATCATCATGACCATGTTGATGGAATGAACGCATCGGAAATCGACAATAGTGAATTCGGGCCACGTGTTTTGTTCAACAGTGAAACATGTCGTCATCAAATTGTAAACACGCGTCGTCACACCACCACCAATTTCCCATCACAAAAATCGCTGGAGAAAATGGATTCATTTTCATTGACAATGCCAAGACGGCAAACAACTGCCATTTCTTCCACATCAAATGAACGATGTAATTTTCGCAATTTAACTGCACATGATGTTGCACAATTGCTTCGATCCACACAATATACACAGCAATCACTACAAAATGACCATATGACCGACGATACTCTTGCACCCAGCAGCATTGACAGTTCAACATTTCCCATCGGCACCGATGATTTGCAATCTGATGACATCGGTCAAGAGCACGAAGATTTTTCACTAACACGTTCCGTTGAGGAATTGGTGCTGAATGAAGTGCCGATTGGGGAAAGTAGTGCAGCTGCTAACTTTTGTGATAAAAATAATTGAGAAACAACAGAACAAAATAAAACAGAGGAGAAAAAAAATGTTCGAGATGATCCGAATTTGAATTTAACTCTAAAACAATTTATACTAACACATTCCACCCATTTTACTATACTATATGTACAAACCATGTATCATAAATGGTCAATGAATATTGAAAACCGAACAAGTGAAACAAGAATTGCAATTAGAATTTAGTACGCAGGAATTCATAGACGTTAATGTTCAACTAGAAAGAGAACGTAATCGATAGTCAAAACCACTTTAGAAAAATGACAGAAATTATGAGCCTTGACTAAGAACTATTTAGAAATTATAAATAAATAAAAGATATGTAATAATGTACTGTTTTGACTTTGATTCGTCAGCTTAGCAAACTTTATTTATAAATACCCATATGAATAAAAAACACATAATTGAACAGAATTATATTCACATGATATTGACGTTTCATTGGGACGGAACAACAGATTGAATTATATATTTTTTCGTTGATCATATGAAAAAAAGTATTACAACGTTTAGAGACTACGCATAGACCAGTTTTTCGATAACCGATTATTTAAAAAAATTGTTCGTACCCGAAATCATTTCGACACATCTCCAAGATTTCAACATCCATCTAATAATTTCGGATCATTTTTATGGTAATATTGAAAAATTTACACCCAACTCTGGGTAATTTCTAACGTGATTAAATGCCAAAAATACGCTTAAGCGAGGGAGATTTTTCAAAGCAATTTTAACCGTGCAGTATGATTAATGCCATCTTAGCTGCGGCTCGTTTAGCATTCTTTTTGTTGACTCCACGGCCACACACCAATTTTCGTTCCTTCTTGCAGGTAAACCGAAGGTCAACACTAACAATACCCTCCTTGTCTTGCACCGGTTTATCAAATTCTGGATTTGCATTTTGAAATTCGTACAGCTGCCGAACCTTTTGAATCGGTACATTGGCCATGAATATGTTCATAGCTCCTCTTCCATAAGTCGATAAATAACCATCCATGTGGCCTATTGATTGAAGGGAAAAAAGTTACATTTAAAATATGCCATGTGAATCTTTCGCTTTTGCTGAGGTTGAATTGCGCATGCTTATGAATGCTATGAACTTGCCTCAAGATCGTTTCCAGTATCTAAGAATATGGCACCGATTATTGCTTCGAAAACGTCGCCAAGTGCTTTTGGTACATCAACATATTCGGCCATGTCTTGTTCTTCCATCAATCGTACGACATGATCGCCCACCTTATGATTGAATTTAAGTTGAATGTCATAGAAGTCATAGATTGCGTTGCTCAAAGTCGAACTCTGCGATAGAATATGTCTATGAATATTGTATTTTACACATAAACAGGCCAGCGTGACATTGTTTACGAGTGCCGATCGCAAATCTGTTAATTGTCCAGGGTTCTTGTCCGGACAACGTTCAAAAATGAATGCCGTGATAAGGAAATCGAGAACAGCATCGCCCAAAAATTCAAGTTGTTGATAGCATCCGGTGACACGGTTCGTTGGATACGACGGATGGGTCAATGCTTGCAACAAATATGCACGGTCTTTGAATGTGTATCCGATCGATTTCTCGAGATCCCTATGATTCGGTAAAAAGGAATCGACGTCATAATCAGAAATATTCGAAGTACGAAGGCGAGGTGAAGAAAGTTTTGTTTCCAACATTCTGGTTATATCCCTATCGCCGCGCGGTAAAATGCCCATCATTTCCAATGCACTCCTAATAAAAATCACAAACAAAGAAAAACGATAAAAAAAATTCAAATAAAAATCATGGAAAGTAGCGCTGTTTTACCTGTACACGGTCTTCAACTTTGAACATAGGCGGTTGCCAGTCAACTTTGGGATTAAAGTCATGAATTTTTATCATTCCAGGTAGTTTGTGTCGGATCGCCGCATAGCAGAGATTGCGATTACCAACGATTTAACCTTTGATTGTAGTCAATGAACCTTCCTGCCACTCGCTATGCTTCTGGATCAAGTACAGAGATGTGGCAAATTTCAAGAAAGCATCACCCAGTACCTCGAACAATTCCATGTGGAAAACATCAGCCGATGAAGCGCTTGAGAGTGCCGCCAACAGCTCGTGCTGTTCAACGCCGCGAGCATTGGGTGTGAATAGTTTTGTATCAAGGATTTTGATATGCAATTTCTCCTCATTTTCGACATCACACAAAGCAGGCACATTCGGATTGAGTTGAGGTGACAAGAGTCGGTTACTGTTGCTTAGTTTTACCTTGAATTTACTTATCATATTATAAAAATATTTAACATCAACCCCGTATGCGGTGCCGAAGTGCCGTTGCAAGTCAATCAGATTTCCATATTCTGTTCCAAACAGTTCTGTTTCAGCATTTAACCGTGGAATATTGGTGGCAGCCAAAGTCGTGACTTCTTCATCGTCTAAGTATTGTTGATTGCTTGAAATTTGACTCTTTGGTTGATCAATTAGTTTTTTGGACATTTTTTCAATCAAAGGACACGGTGTGTATTCGGCAGTTGGAAGGCCAACGTATTTTTGGATGGTAACACGCCAATGTTCAGCATGCAGAATGGATGGGATGCGATGTAGGACACTTGGAATAATGATTGCTTTTAACCACAAATCGCCTGGAAAACGGAAATTATGACAGAATTCAGGAATCAGATTTACATCACTTCCAATGCGTGTATTTTTTTCGCCATCACCGCGAATTATACAATTCAAATTGGATGTCGTTTGTTTGACACCAAGTAAAAATTGGCTCGGTTCAACGATGCGATCGATGCGTTGACCATATTTTTTCTCCGAATAATCTGCAAAATTTTTGTATGTCTCATCTGGGAATGGGCTGTACGGTGTCATATCTGGTGGCACGTGAGTAACCACAAATCTCATATTCTCATTTTGGTGTGGAATATACCATGGACAAACCACTGTGTTCAACCAATCTTCTTCCTTGTAGACGACATTTTCACGTTCCGATGCAGATTTCGGTTTACATTCCGACCAAGTTTGGAACTGCTCAACGATATTCCAGTCGATTTGACTATTGTTCGTTGGGCAAATCATGAATGAATCTTTGTGATCATACCCGAAAAACTCCTTCCAAATGCCCAAAATATAACGGAAGAAGATGTAGTGGAACCGCTTAAGTTCGGCCAATTTTTCCGGATTGCCTAGAGTTATAAGCCTGGGTTCGTAGCTAACTGAGCATGCAATTTTACCGAATGATTGACTAAATTTCATTGAAGCCATGCGCGGCAGTGGTTTTGCCGTCAAAATGCCATAGCTTCGTGATGATTCATCGAGGAGTTTGTGAAACACTTTGATATTTTTGTCGCTCATATTAAAAGTATCCGACACTGGATTCATTTGGATTTCGTACAAATACAGCTGTATGTTTACTCGTGGCATGCTGTCGATGAGAGCTGCAGGAACTTGAATATCGTGCAGTCGATGATGTTTCTTTGTTCCGGCCTCTTTTGGCTTATCTGCGTTCAAAAAAAAGTGAATGAAATTCGTTAATCAAATTTTTAAAAAAGTCGCCAATCAATTGCCAATCATAGACCATTTACGTCGAAAGAGAGAGACAGATAGAGAAAGTGGTTCAAATCACTCACCATTCTCAAACTGATTCCATGACTTGAAATAAACGTCTTTGTGTAGGTTTAAGCAATTTTTCTAGTCGATTGGGAGTAGATTTTTGGATAATTCACCCAGGCGATATAATTCCATGATGGTTTCAAAGGCAACACTTTTTTTAGCCAATTTCAATGAAGGTAAAGTTTTTCCCTACGAAAAATTATTGCATGCGATTTATTAAAATACCGCGGTCACACCTCATCGATCTCATTTCAAGTAAGTAAATAAATACAAATCAAAATAGACGAGAACAATTTCGAAGGACAAGCGTACGTCTAGTAGTCATTTGACGCGCTCACACAACTTATCATTCACACTTTCATTGCATACTGTTCTCGTCTATCTTTACATCGCTTCGTACACCACCATATAGACCATTCGGGATGATAGAAATTATTTGACAATCGACTTACGGTCATTTTTTCTTTCAACGGTGACTGGATTGGTAGCAGAAGACTCGCCGAAAAACCATTTTTAATGGTTAAACTCATTTTTTCGTGTTGTGTATAGTTCGAGTCTGGTGCTAATACAGTGAACATATCTTTCGGTAAACCAACGGAATGGCCGAGTGGTAATCAACGATCGCCAATCCATCGTCGGTTGAGAATGATTCGTTGTATTTTTGCTCAGTGGCTCTATCGATGCAATCCTGCTCCGGTGGTTTTCGGTCAATTGCAATGTCTGTCAAGTGCTGAGAAGATATAGATGTTGATTAATTCATGCGATGATCTGCAGCAGGATTGCTTGCTATCAACAATTGATTGAATGGAACATACTTGCTGTAAAATTTCGCTAACTTCTCGCCATTCGATTAACTTTTTCTGAAGCTTGTTCTTCTCATTTGTCATAATCACATATTGACTGTTCCTCATACGAGCCCGTCCTTTCATTTGCAGATAAGCTCGAAAGTGAAGCGGTTCATCATAACAAATGACTAAATTACATTCTTGTAAGTCAATGCCCTCTTCCAGCACGTTAGTAGCGATGATTAAATTAATTTCGCCTGTCTTAAATTTCTCCAATACTTTGTTGTTATTTTTGTTGCCAATCAAAGTTTCAACTGGGTCAGACATATTGGAATTTTGGCCGACCATAAAATCCACGTTGACATTCAATTCCGGATAAGCTTGGAAGAAATCTCTTACCACACTGCATAAGATACGAGCTGTGTTTCTCTCTCTAACAAAAATCAAACCTTTTATCGGTTGGTCGGGATCTTCTTCAACAAATTGCTTCAAACTTTCTAATAGCTTTTGTACATGTTGCGATGAATTTGTGCGAATTGTTTCTGGATCATTTTCCAAAATTGGCGATGATGTTGGGTCTTCTGGAATAAGCGCCTCAATGCTGCACACTTGGTTTTTCACCTCTGAAGTATAGGTACTTCCCACTTCAATTTATAAAATTTGAAGTAAAATAAATGAAAAACTTAACGGTTTGACGAATAACGAACCATTTTCCTTTTATATAAATTTTTTTTTCAGAGAACCGAGATAATCTTCTATCACCGATTCTTTTTTACGGTCAGAGGTCTTTTCATTTTATTTCCCAAATGATTTTATTCCGTTGAATGTAATTAAAATATTATATCTTTTCGAGATATTCCTAAAGAAACACATGCCTACGCACCTGATCTAGCAACATTCTGGACAATTTTGATAAACACGACAAATACACGAAATATTCCAAACTATTTTCATAAAATATACTGAATTAAAATAAACCGCTTTCAATGAATCACATGCAAATTATACGGAATACGAAAGATGCGACACCAACAACAGTTGTTGGTATACTAAATCAAGAATGAACACGCACTCCACTTGTCCGGAACAAACAAATACGAGCAGCTGATTCAAACGATTTAAATATTGTGAAATCCAGTGCACCAAGTGTCATGTAGCCGAGTCGTTGCCGGTACGTGTGCTGCGTTTCATCATAGCGTCGCTTCGCATTGCATGCGTATCGCATTGTGAAACGATATTCTAGATTATTCTCATGTTAATATATAGCGCGAAGAGAACGTCAATACGCCATTCGTCTAAGGCGCGTTTCTACATTTGATGTACAGAATGTATTTTTCTTAACGCACATGAGTCATTTCTTTCAAACAGCTAAATACCGGTGCATAAACAATATGAAAATTGTAATGTATTCCATGGCAAGCAATAAAACGCACAGAAAAATTAAACAATGCATTCATTTTGTATTAATTTCATTTGCAAAACTTTATTTAGATTATAATTGATACGTGATAACATCTTTATTAAAGATTTTCTTCTGAGCACATAATTAAAAATGTGCATATTTTAATCGATCATGATTTGTATCGGATTAAGGCAGTTTCAACATATATCATTCGTTTTCATAAGCCAAATTCAAAAATATTGTCGGAGCATCTATGTTTTGATATATTCATGAATGCACTTTTTTCATTATAGAATCATAAAAACTGTCAAAAAATTGAATTTCTTGTCTATCGACACGTGAATGATTGACAAATGTAACGCGCAAAATTAAGATTACTTCGTTAATATTTGATAATTTTGGGATGATTTTATCCTCTAATGCATACAACCGCCTCTAGACGGGCAATATTTGAATGCCTGTAGAACGTAAACCGTACATCGGATCACATTGCTTCAAAGAGAATTTTTATTCGTCAATATTTTCTCTTTATTTTTGTCTGTCGCAATATTTGTCTTTGTAGTGTGATTGTAAAGTTATAAACAAAATTGTGTGCAAAAACAAAAATTTGACAAAATAAATTATTCGAACTCCAAATTAGACACATTTTTGACACTTTTAAACAATGGATTTGATTGTTCTCTGATTTATGTCAATCGCATCTCCATGAGGAATCCAGGATTATGAATATTTTTTTAATTATCTATGGCCAAAAATCAACCAAGTACCAGTACTCCCAGCCCTGGGAAAAATTAATGCATTAGAGGGTTAATTACCCGCAAAAATAATATCAACTTTAATGAATAATAAAATCAATATGATTATTGCCTTTCACAAGCAATTAGCATCACTTAACATATTTTTAAGGCGACTTTCAATATAATTAAATTTGTAATATGCGAATATATGAAATCATTTAATAAAGGAAATCGGGATACAAACATGAAAAATATATAAAATTCATACGAAATTGATTTGGATTTTTTTTTTCGTTTTCAGATAATGATACTCTTTTCTCTTGACAAAGTTAAAGTCAAATTGAGTATGTAGCTTTATTTTTTGTAACTTGATGAGAAAAAAAAGGTAAATATATAATGGAATTTTAATTCGACTTCGAACAAAATAAAGGAAATCAAATAGAATATTTTCTTTCATAAATCACATATGTTTTCGTTTACATATTTCATAGTTCCATGGATGAGATTGAGGGTAGTGCATATTTCTTGACAATTTTTATGTTGCTAAAGTATGTTTCACTCGTGGTTTTTTGGGCGATTTTCATTTTAATGACAAGAAATACCGTATCTTTGCAAGAATTATTGGTCTTGTACACAACTTTTACAGAAGACTTTCATCGTTCATCTGTTGAAATAAATAAATTATTTCAAGATTTGCTCACCACTTGAAATTGAACTTTAAAACATACTCTACTTATTCCAATACAAAGTCTGTGAAACATACACCACTCTCAATTTCACCCATGAAATTGTGCGTTGTTTTTTTCTTATCTTAACATCTAGTCAATTTCGATAGCGCCAACTTAGCTCCAGCTCGTTTGGCATTCTCTTTGTTGGTACCGAAGCCGTGCACTAACAAAATTTCACCATTGCACGTGAAACGAACATTAACCAACACAATGTCCAACTCCTCATCGACCACTGGATCATCGAATTCCGGATTTGCGTTCGGATATTCGTACAGCTGCCGAACCATTTGAATCGGTACTTTGGCCATGAATTTGTCCAGTTCCTTCTCCATCAGCCGATAAATAACTTTCCATGTAACCTGTTGATAAAAGAAAAAAAATTACATTTGAAATAAACCATATGAATCTTTTGTTTTTGTTCAGCTTGAATGATCCAACTAAACGTTCGAAATAATTCCGAATGATTTCAGCGGATTTTGTTCCAGAATACCGGCACTGACAATAGCGAAAACACAGTGGGTAATTTAATGTTTTACACTATATGTTTTTGGGTAGCGGACATAAGTTCCCAAACGGACCGGTCCGTGGTCCGTGGTCCGTCGGTCCGCGGACCGACATTAAGTTTCCACGGACCGACGGACCGTACTCACGGACCGACGGACCGGACTCACGGACCGACGGACCGGATTCACGGACCGACGGACCGTTTTTAGTTTGCATTCTTTGAATTCTGACAATGGTAAATGTTTTATGCTTATTAAGAATTCCGTTTGTTAGCAAAATAGCTATAAACTTACCTCAAGATCATTTCCACTGTCCAAGAATATGCCACCGATAATTGCTTCGAAAACATCACCCAAAGTCTTTGGCACATCAATATAATCGGCCATTTGGCATTGAACATCTTTTTCTTCCATCAGAAGCTCAACGTGATCGGCAACTTCGTGATTATGCTTGCGTTGAAAGTCAACGAATCGATTGACTGACTCTGTCAAAACGGCGTTTTGCGATAAAATGTGACCGTGAATGTCGTATCTTACGCATAAACAGGCCAGCGTAACGTTGTTCACTAGAGCTGATCGCAAATCCGTTAATTGGCCAGGATCCATGTGCGGACAACGTTCAAAAATGTATGCTGTGATTAAGAAATCGAGAACAGCATCGCCCAAAAATTCAAGTTGTTGATAACAACCAGTGACGCGGTTCGTTGGATACGACGGATGGGTCAATGCCTGCAATAAATATGCACGATCTTTGAATGTGTATCCGATCGATTTCTCCAGCTTCTGATGATTGGCCAAAAAGTAATCAACGTCATATTCGAGAATTTTCGTACGAAGACGAGGTGAAGAAAGTTTTGTTTCCAACATTCTGGTTATATCCCTATCGCCGCGCGGTAAAATGCCCATCATTTCCAACACTTTGAAGGTTCTTTCAACACCAATCGATTTGACACATGTTCCAAGGATGGCTTCGACACAATCGGCACATGTTTTGTCCGACACTCGTTGCTTTCCGAGAAAGTTTTGCATTGTGGAAAGTTCACCACCCTCAGCGCCATCATCCATGAATCGTTGCACATAAGATGCCAAAGAAACATCCGATACCTCACCATTTTCAAGCTCAACATTTGATAGCGCTAGCTTATATAGCAAATCAGGTGTTACGTTGTAATCCTTCATGTATTCCTAATGAAAAAAAAAATGAGAATCACGAACAAACAAAAAACGATTAAATTTTGCGAAAAAATTCATGGAAAATTGCGTTGTTTTACCTGTATGCGGTCTTCAACTTTGAACATTGGCGGCTGCCAATCGTCTTTCGGATTAAAGTTGTGAATTTTAATCATTCCTGGCAAATTGTGATGGATGGCCGCATAGCAAAGATTGCGATTGCCTACAATTTGACCTTTGATTGCGGTCAAGAAACCTTCGTGCCAATCAGTGTGCTTCTGGATCAAGTACAGAGATGTGGCGAATTTTAAGAAAGCGTCACCCAATACCTCAAACAATTCCATATGGAATACATCGCCCGATGAAGCACTTGTAAGTGCCGCCAGTATTTCGTGCTGCTCAACGCCACGAGAATTTGGTGTCGATAGCTTTCTATCCAGAATATTAATGTGTAATTTATCCTCTGCAGGAGCATCACACAAAGCCGGCACATTGGTGTGGAAACGATGCGGTGAGAGCAAATTGTTGTTGTGATTTTTGCTATCCAATGAAAGACCATTGAGAGCACGATTCATGTACTGATAAAAATAGTCAATGTCGACTTCATAAACATTATCGAAATGTCTTTCAAGATCCACGGGCTCTTGAATTTCGGATCCCAAAATGGCTGTGTCAGCATCAAATCGGGCAACATCACCAGCTTTTAAGAGTTTCGCCTGGCTTTCATCGGTTCGTGGATGTACGATCGAATTTTGAATTGCAGCTTTGGCATATCCAGTTTTATTTTTGGCCATTTTCTCAATCAACGGACTCGGCTTGTAATCGATGATTCGCAGACCAACATAATTGTTAATGGTGACACGCAGATTTTCAGCATGCAAAATGTACGTGATACGATGCAGGATACTTGGCATATTAATTGCTTTCAACCAAAGATCGCCCGGATAGCGGAAATTGTGGCACAATTCGGGGATCAAAAATTCCGGTCCTCGTGGTCGAGGTCGTGCATTTCGACGACCATCTTCACCATCACCAGCATGCAATCGATTCAAATGAGTTGTTATTGGTTTAACACCAATTAAAAATTGGTCACCGTTCACCACTTTGGTAATGTCGGGATACTTGCTCAGTGCATAATGGGCATAATTATCAAATTCATCATTTGGGAATGGGCTGAGCGGAGTTTGATGCGATGACACCTGTGTCACAACATATCGAATGGTTTTATCGGCTCGATACCATGGACAAATCACGCTGTACAACCAATCTTCCTCCCTATATACGCAATTCATACGATCTGCAACGGTTTTTCCCTGTAATTCCGACCAACTTTGGAACTTTTCAACGATATTCCAGTCGATTTGATGATTTTTTGTTGGAACAACCACAACTGAATCCTTGTGATCATACACGAAGAACTCCTTCCAAACGTCCAAAACATTACGGAACAAAATACAATGGAAACGCTTGAGTTCCGCTAATTTTTCTGGTTTACCTAGAGTAACTAGCTTGGGTTCAAAGCTAACTGAGCATACGATTTGACCGAATGATTGGAAGTATTTCATCAAACCCATTCGTGGCAATGGTTTTGTTGTTAAAATGCCATAGCTTCGCGATGATTGCAAAAGTTGATGGAATATTTTGATATTCTCATCGTTTGCATCGAAGAATGTGTCATTGCCCACTTCGAATTTTGGCTCCATTTCGATTTCGTACAGATACAGCTGTATATTCACCTTTGGCATACTATCGAAAAGAGCCGTTGGAGTTTGAATAGCATGCATTCGATAGTTTTTCTTTGTGCCAGCTTCTTTTGGGTTATCTGTGTGGAAAAAATGAAATGCGTTAATCAATTTTTCGCCTGAAGGAGATCCTGATGTTATGTATTCAGTAAAAACAGTTTCAATTTCAGATTATTGATCGTTTTGAGGAAAATGACAGAAAAAAACACATAAAACAAAATTTAAATCACTCACCACCTGTAAACTGATCCCACAATTTGAAATAAACGTCTTTGTACAGATCCAAACACTTTTGCCTGTTGATTGGCAGCAAATTATCAGTGAGTTCACCCGATTTATGCAATTGTTTGATTGCCTCGAATGCGGCACTTCTCTTTGCCAACTTCAATGTGGGCATTAATTTTCCCTGTAGACCAAATTAATTGATTAATTCATTTCATTTGGATAGTATTTGATGAATCAATTGAACATCATTTCGACTTACCGTTATGTAGTCTTTTAACGATGACTGCATCGGTAGGTAAATACTACAGGAGAAATGATTTTTGTTCGGTATTTCTTTCCACTCTACCGCCGGAGTAGTGAACATATCACTTGGTAGGCTCACACAATACCGATTAATCAACGCTGTGGCCGAGTTAAAATCTACGGTGGCACCTTCTTTAGTCGTGTATTTTTCGTTATGCTTTTGCTCGACGGCTTTTTCGATGTCATCTTGCAGTGGTGGTGGTCGGTCAATGGCCTTGTGCACCAAATACTGATAGAAATACACAAATTTTACGAAAAGTTTTAACATCAAGCATGCTTCAGTTATAACATCCGAATATAACCTACGAAAATGAATCGAATTGACTTACATCTCTTAGAATCCTATTGATTTCTTGCCATTCGGTGGCCTTTTTCTGGAGTTTGTTATTTTCTGCCGCCTTTGTCATAATCACATATTGACTTTGCTGCATTCTTGCACGTCCTTTCGTTTGCACATAAGAACGGAATGTTTTTGGTGTATCGTAACAAATTACCAAATTGCATTCTTGCAAATCAATCCCCTCCTCCAAGACGCTGGTGGCGATTATCAGATTAATTTCATCGCGTTTGAATTTGTCCAGAACTCGGTTGTTGTTCTTATTGCCCATCAGAGTTTCCACTGAATCTGGCATAAAGGCATTTCGTCCAGTCATAAAGTCAACATGGATATTCAAGTCCGGATATGAATTCGCATATCGACGCACCACGTGACACAAAATTCGAGCGGTGTACCTCCTCTCAACGAAAATCAATCCTTTCATCGGTCGGCCGCTATTTTTATGCTCTTCAGCCGACTTTTTCAAAAAGATCAACAGCTGTTGCACCTGATGCGACGAATTGGTTAAAATGGTTGACGGATCTTCTTTTACTGTTTGCTCATCGATTTCATCGGTTTTCATATCTTCATCATCGTCATCATCATCGTACACCTTGCGCATTTGAATGTGCAGAATTTCTTCAAACGATGTGATCAAAGCTCGAGACACCAATTTGGACGCAGTTGTATCCGCTTCTCGTTTTTTCAATTCCATATCGACAATGGCTGCTAAATTGGCCAATATGGCACCGTATAATCCCAGGTTGCCCGTTTGAAACATAAACTCCTTGCAAATTGTTTCGTATTTCGTTTGCGTTTTCGGTTGTTTATCTTTTCGAAAATCTCGTTTTACTTCGTGAGTCACGTCCAAAGGCCAATTTTTGATCAGTTCCAGCATTAATTCAACTTTTTGCGTTAGAAAATGTTGGAAGTTATCGGGAAAATTGGTATTGTATGCGAGTACCGATTCAACTGGACGTGTAGAATACATGAGTACATCGTTGAATGCGGCTCCTTTGGCAGTGGTTATGGTGCCACGGAATGTACTCTCCAGCCGTCTCAAATCTTCTAGAACATTCTGTGGCTTAATCGATGACGTTGTGAGCATTCCGGTCAGACCAATAACGCGTGGGTGGTCTTTTTCCGGAACTTTTCCATCCAAATCCCTGAACTTTTCCATCAACATTAGCATGGGATGTTCCTTCTGGGCATGGTGACATTCATCGAATACAATTAAATTGAAATCCGAGATTCTCAAATATCCATGCCGAATAATATCGAGAACGATTTGAACCGTTGCAGTGATAACCTGTTTAATGAAAACATAATTTGCATCTCGATCAGCATATTCATTCAAGAGAAAGAAAAAGAAAAACTGAGTAGTGGTGGGGATCATATTACTTGATTCTGTTCGAACTCGTTAGACCACTGGTCGCGCTTCCATGCATCTACATTCATATCACCGGTGTATACGGCCACTTTTAATGGTGTTGACTTGGAAATTACTTCGGCTTGTTGATGTGCCAAAGCAACTGTATTTGTAAGGAATACGCTCCGTTTTCCTCCCTCCGAAATCGGTCTTATCGAAGTGAAAACGGAAAAAAATTCATTCGAACACACTCAAAGTTCATAAACATCAAATAAGAAATTGTCGTTCATATATTGAAAAACGATTCAAAGTAGAAACAATCGCAAAGTGACTCTCATGATAATCGCACAACTCATAGCCTACTCGGTCGACCAAATTGAGCAAATATTTACGAAGCGACGAAAAGAGAAAACCGAAGAATAGTGTTTATGGACAGAACAGCGATAATGCAACCATAAATATCGCAGTATACTGCTCTATAACACTGTACAAATACATTTGGTTGCTAATTTTAAATCGTCTGGAAAATGTTGATATACTGATTGAAAACATTTGAAACTTATAAATGTTTTGCGTTTTAGCACGAACGAAATGTGATCATTAATTGCAGGAATAGTGAGATGAAAATCTTTGAAAGCAGCTCTAAATCGGTTCACGATGAATGCAATTGAAACTACATTAAAATTGAATATCAATGGATAACACGAGATTCTACCAATTCGTGTTGCGAAATTTACTGAAACCCTGACTATTTAACAACAATGTAACACAGTCGATTTAGTGTAGAACACGTCATTTTCCGGCATGAATGCCCAAAGCAACATATGATTATGTGTATTGTTCATGCAGCACACATGTTTATCTTCACAAATATCCTACTAAAAATCACATCTTAAGCACACATTGGTGCATTTTGTAGACGCATACTTACTTTTCCAAATCTTTGGCAAAATGCTTAAGGGCCATAATAGCGATGTACGTTTTTCCTGCGCCGGTGGGCAGGTAGATTATTGTGTTGCGTTCAATGCATGCCTTTAGGATCTCATCTTGATATCCTCGACTCTTGAATTCCGTTTGTTCTTCGCCGGAATTTTCCTACATTCAATCAAATCATAATTTAATTCAAAAGCCGACACAAATCATTTGGATGATTATCAAAAACGATTTGAAGTTTTTCAGATTGGATGGAGAAATTCATCGGGAAGTTTAAAATAAAATATCAATTTTAACAACGAAAAAAAAAATCCAGCACAAAGCTCATAGCAATTAGAAACACACTCACTTGATCCATCGTCATTTTGTGTAGTTTTTGTTATCACTTCCGAAATTCAAACGTAAACTACTCCCGTTTTGTTCATGAGAAATTCAATAAAAAAATATCTATTTGGGTAAATACAAAAATTAACATGCACTACAGCTTCGAATAGTTTACATTAAACAGAGCGGCACTTTTTCTACTCTCACGCAAAACCGATTGATTATTGTGAAATGATGATGATTGTTCATACAAAGTCAACTAAATGTTGTATTGAATTGACGTTTTGTATATCCGATGGATGATATGTTACAGCATAATAGTATCGCTAAAACTGATCTACGATTGTTGTAAAATGTTTTATAGGAATAAAAATTCACAAAGAACGAATGATGGTGATAAGTTTTCTTGTTTTTTTTCTTTTTTCTCGCATATTTTCGTTAAGCGAATTCGCATATTCGTCGAAACGGATTGCCACTGAGTATTTTGACAATCATATGTGATGAACGCAATGGCAACACCAGCACCACAATCTGACAACTGACATTCAAAATATATTGCAATGCTTGCTCTGTGCTAAGCATAAACACGTGGGTCTTGAAAGGGAAACCACGATACGTTTATTGAGTAAGTGACATTTTTGATTAAATCTACAGAAAGAAACACCATTTTCAAACGGCGAAAATTCGTGTTTATTTCAAGTTGAGAGTGTAAAAATCCGTACAAAATGGGTAAAAAGGGAAAAGTTGGAAAGGATCGTAAAGATAAGTTTTACAAATTAGCTAAAGAAACTGGTAAGTTCATTGACTAAACACACATTGAAATGTGCCGCAAATCCAAAGATAGAGAGAAAAACTCAATGCCTTCACTTTGATTTCCAATAGGTTTTCGTTCTCGTGCCGCCTTCAAATTGATTCAACTGAATCGTAAGTTTAGTTTTCTGCAAAAGTCACAAGTATGCATCGATTTGTGTGCAGCGCCTGGTGGTTGGATGCAAGTTGCCAAAGAGAACATGCCAATTTCGAGCATTGTGATCGGTGTCGATTTATATCCCATCAAACCGATTAACGGTTGCATTAGTTTAACGGAAGATATTACCACCGAAAAGTGTCGTACTGCATTGAAAAAGGAAATACAGACGTGGAAAGCCGATGTTGTGCTGCATGATGGTGCACCGAATGTCGGTAAAAACTGGTTGTACGATGCATATCAACAGATCTGTTTGACATTGCAAGCAACCAAATTGGCCAGTGAATTTTTGCGCAGCGGCGGATGGTTCATCACAAAAGTGTTCCGATCAAAGGATTACAATGCATTGTTGTGGGTGCTGAAGCAACTTTTCAAGAAAGTACATGCCACCAAACCGTCGGCTTCGCGTAAAGAATCCGCTGAAATTTTCGTTGTGTGTCAATACTTCATTGCACCCGATAAAATTGATCCGCGATTTTTCGAGGCAAAATATGTGTTCGAAGAATTGGATTTGGAAGGTACAAAAACCGTTAGTTTATTGCATAAGGATAAAAAACGTATCAAACCTGAAGGCTACACTGAAAAAGACTTTTCACTGCGCAATGAATTGCAAGCATCGGAATTTATTCGCAGTGCATCGGCATTGATAGCGCTGCAAGGAGTCAGTGAAATTGTTTTCGATGATGAGAAAATCGCGACGCATAAGAAAACCACCAATGAAATTAAGGAATGCTGTAAAGATATCAAAGTATTGGGTCGCAAAGATTTGAAAAATCTGATTGCATGGTGGAAAACATTGAACGCCGAATTTTATCCGAAAGAAAAAGTCGCCCCCGTTGAAACGATTGAAACGGAAGAGAAGAAAAAACCATTGACACAAGAAGAAGTTGAAGATATGGAATTTGAAGAGATTGAAAAGCAAATCGAAGATCTGGAAATGGCCGATATGAAAGATCAAAAACGAAAGAAGAAGAAGGTGCAAGAAGCGCGTCGCAAACTGAATGAGAAAATCAATTTGAAAATGGTGATCAAAGGTGATTCTGGGCCACAGGAAGAGGATGTTGAAATATTCAGTTTGAAACAAATTAACAGTGCCGCTCAATTGGACAGCATTCAAGATATGGCACCCGACATGTTACTACCGGATGATGAGCAAGGCAATAGCGAATATATTCCAAAATACAAAAAGTATGAGCGAGACTCGAGCCATTTGGACGACGACGGTTTGTATGCAGACGAAGATAATGGAAATGATTCCGATGACAGTGAGGCCGCCGATTCGGATGATAGCGAAGTGTTGGGAAAGAAGGGCCTTGGTTTCGATGAATCAGAAGATGAAGAAACGCCAAAGAAGAAAGCTGATGCTAAAAAAGTGAAGAAGGCTGCGAAAAAGGGCGAACAAAATCCACTGTTGATGGATTTGGATGTTCGCGACAAAAGCACAAAACGCGATCAACGCGTTAATTTGTGGTTTGATAAGGAAAAATTCAAAGAGGACAACAGTGATGAAGGTGAAGACTTCGATTTGGACAAACTTAGCCATCAGTATAAAACGAAAGGTGTTAAAGTACTTGGCGAATCGGCTGACAAAGCGAGCGACACACCAGCATTAAAACCAACTCTTGGCAAAAAGGCAAAACGTCGTCAACGGCATCTTGAGAAAGCTGGAAGCGATGGAAACGACACATCAGACAGGTACGTTTTTGTTGGGTAAAAATGCCATCAATTATGGCTTTGTTTTTTTTTTCAATTTAAAAACATGTAAAAAAAATTTGAATTTCGTCGAATGAAAATAATGTTTTTTTTCATCAAATTTCCACAAACAGTGACAGTGACGATGAAGTCGCCAATGATGCTGGTAGTGGTGTTAAGGCTAAGAAGATCAAACTCAACGAAGAAGAATTAGCTTTAGGTGCAATGATGATTCGTGGTGAGAAAACGAAACGTGATCTATTTGATGCGGCTTGGAATCGATACACATTCAACGATGAAAACCTCCCGGAATGGTTTGTTAAAGATGAAGCACAGCACATGGTCAAAGAAGCACCAACACCCAGAGAATTAGTTGAAGAGTACCAAAAGAAGGTCGAAGAGCTCAATGTGCGTCCAATCAAAAAAGTAATGGAAGCCAAAGCGCGTAAAAAGCGTCGTGCCATGAAACGTTTCGAAAAGGCAAAGAAGAAGGCCGAAGCCATTATGGAAAGCAATGATGCCAGCGCTCAAGAGAAAGTACGACAAGTTAAAAAGTGAGTGGTTTCAATCAACGCCAGTTTTTCGATAACAAATTTTCCAATTTTTTTTTATATTTATTCATGAAATTCTCTTTTTTCCACCAGATTGTATAAGAAAGCACAAGACAAAAAGGAAGAAGTCGCGTACGTTGTTGCACGCAAACATTTGACCAGTAAACGGGTTCGTCGACCGGCCGGCGTTAAGGGTCGATTTAAGGTGGTCGATCCGCGTATGAAGAAAGAAGTACGCGCCGCAAAAGCCAAGGAAAAAACGAAAAACCGAAGACGTCGTTAGATCCAATCACTTTTATTATAACAATTACAATATACTTTTCTTTTTCTATTTTATTGAAGAAATTGATATGAAAACAAATCGTTTGAAAATAAAAATTATTTTATGTAAAAATAACACAGAACTATGGGACATTGTTATACATCTTTGTAGTTTTATAAAAAAAAATATTCATCTTGAGACTGAAGAATTTTTTGTTCATAGAACCTGCAAATGTGATTCAAAACTGTCAGAACTCAATGGAATCTCATTGAGTGAACCTTTTTCAATTCATGCATGTATTTTACCAACACAAGAAGACAAATATTATTTCGAACAAACAGAAGTTGATGTAACGGGCTTCTTTAAAATTGGAATTGATGAAAACTTTCAACTTCCATTTCATTGGGAAAAATATACGACTTCTTCTGCAACATTTCTTCTTCGGCTTGTTTGTTTTCCAAAAAATACATTGTTATACTGACATTGACCGTTTCAAATACGAATCGAACCTAATGCGATTTTTTGTTGTTGACTACAGCAATATTTCCCACGAAAGCGTTTATATATGACCATTTGTTTATTATCACAATTTTTTTTTTACAATTATCAAACAATGTGAATTCAAAAAAAAACATTTAAATCACGCAGTTTCGATGGACGAATCAAAAAACTGTAGTGAATTTCATATATATCGGTAATGCAGATTGGAAGTTCGGTAAACGGGACGATTGTTTGTGTTGAGGCGCTGATGTTGACAGGCGTTTGGTTTGACAGCCAAAAAGTCGCAAAACCGCATTTGTATCGTGCACACATCGAATAGCACACAGTTTACCAAAGTGAAACAAAAGTATTAAAAATCCCCAATTCCAAAGTGAATAGTGAAAAAAGGACGTTGAATCGATGCAAATTCGGATTAAATGAAAAAAAAAATCAATTTTCATCGTAAAAAAGTAGCGAAAACATTTCGCAGAAATTGCATTTCAACCAAAATCCGTTCAATCACGGGCACACGAATCACGAACACGAAACCCATACATACATGCAAACAAACCGCTGCGAATAGGCATTTTATGCCATAAACATAACCCAACTACATATGCCAAAAAGGTAGTTTAATAACAAACTAGCATTCACGTCCCGCGCACGAAACACAGCAAAGAATGAAATCAAGTGCGGAAAAAGGCGAATTTTGTGCATAAAAACCGAAAAATTTAGTAAAAAAAAAATCATTTAAATTTGTATCGATGAATAGAGCGATGAAACATTTGTACAGAGTCCGCTTCCATTGATACAAATATGATTTAAGTATTTCGACATAACAATCGGAAATTTTTACCTCGCGTGAGTATTCAAACGAATTTTGTAACACACATAAAGTGATCCGGATTCCCGGGGCCAATAAAAACTAACAATGGCCAGCACAAGTACGATAAATGCTGCTTCGGTAGCTCAAGTGGATGCGGCCCAAATGAACACATTCCGCAGCTATGTGACAATGCTGGGCGATCCAACGGCAAAAGATGAAATCAAAATGAAGGCGGCTCAAGAGCTCAGCGAAAACTTCGAATTGATTACACAGTGCAGTGGCTTTCAGCTCTTCCTAGAGCACTCAATGAAGATTTTCATTAAAATCTTACACGAAGGAGATCCATTGTTTATATCAGAGTACAATTTACAGCAGGTAAGCCCGATTCAACCATTGAAATTTGATTGAAATTGAAGTTCGTGTTCGACTCACGCCGAATCCATCCAATTGAAATTCAAACTCCAATGTATAAGAAAAACCCTTTAAATTTTGTTTGCAGGTTCGGAAATTAATTTTAGAAATGATACATCGATTACCGACATCGGAAATTCTCCGTCCATATGTGGCTAGCATTTTGTCACTGATGTTAAAACTACTGCAAACTGACAACGAAGAAAATGTGCTCGTGTGTTTGCGTATCATTATCGAACTACACAAGCAATATCGGCCACAGTTCAATCCCGAAATTCACATGTTTTTAACGCTGGTCAAGCAAATTTATTCCGATTTACCGAAGCATATGCCAAAAATATTTGAACCACGTCCACCGATCCGTGTGAAAGATCTAAAAGATGTGAATTTAGAGCAATTGCTCAACGAAACGTACACAATCACACCGATTCAAGTGGAGAAGAAAGCCGGCGAAAATACCACCGCCAATTATAATCTCATACCAAAGGGTATATTGTCGTTGAAAGTATTGCAGGAGCTCCCAATTATTGTCGTACTCATGTACCAAATATACAAACAGTACGTGCATCAAGAGGTGTCTGAATTTGTGCCGTTGATCATGACCACAATTTCGTTGCAACCATCGCCAATGGTTCGTAGCCAGCCATCGTTCAACAAAGAAGTGTACGTAGATTTTATGGGCGCACAAATTAAAACCCTATCATTTTTGGCCTATATCATCCGGTTGTTCCAAGATGCGATCGTTTTGCATGCACCGGCCATGGTCAAAGGAATGATTGGTTTATTGCAATCCTGTCCAAAGGAGGTAGCTCATCTGCGAAAGGAGCTCCTAATCGCTGCTCGCCACATTTTGGCCACCGAATTGCGAAACAAATTCGTCGGTTCAATGGATAAACTGTTCGATGAAGACCTACTGTTGGGACGCGGTTGGACAACACATGAATCACTTCGACCACTTGCCTATTCAACGCTTGCCGATCTCGTGCATCACGTACGGCAACATCTAAACATTCATGTTTTAGCCAAAGCCGTACATTTATTCTCGAAAAATGTCCACGACGAATCACTCCCGACGAGCATTCAAACCATGTCGTGCAAATTGCTGTTGAATTTAGTCGATTGCATTCGGCAGCGCAGCGAAGCCGAATCGTCAACAGCTCGAGATTTACTCATCACCATGCTTCGGATATTTACGCTAAAATTTTACACAATTGCAAAAATTCAGTTACCACAAATCGTGAGCAAATGGAAAACAATGAAAACAGAGAGTGGAAATGCAAGTAGCGGTGCCACACCACCGTCGACCGCAACAACACCAGCGGCTGCAACACCATCGACTTCAACACCATCAACCACGACCGCACCTGCAACACCGGCCGCAACAACTGAAACACGCGATCCAATGTCAATGGAATTGGCTGTGGCCGATCAAACGTCCAAGTTAAGCAGCATCGGTATCCCACCGCCAACCAATTTAAATGTGGCCGAATACCGAAGTCTGGTCAAAACACTGGTGTGCGGTGTGAAAACAATCACATGGGGCTTGGCCAGTTGTAAATCATCATTTAATGAGGCTACCGTTCAAGGTACACAATCGAAAATGTTCCAGCCCAAAGAAATTCTAATGTTCATCGATTTGGTGCATTGGGCTTTGGAAGCACTGGATATCTATACGATTAATGCACCGGGAAATGGAGGCGCTTGTACACAAGTTGCCAAAACAACCGGCCAACAATTGCCCGTGCCACGGTCGAAAGAAGAAAAAGAAGTTTTAGAGCATTTCAGTGGAGTGGTAAGTGTTCAATCGGATTTTATTACTGAAATTTTCTTTTGCAATACAAAATCCTCTTTTCAAAATACAATTCATCACTAAAAAGTGAATTCACATTCTAAATCCCAACGTTTCTCTCCATAAAATTCCAGTTTCTGATGATGCCCAACCAAAATTTTCAAGAGATTTTCGCCTCGACTGCCGAGTACATGGTGGAGCGAATTTACAAAAACTCCGCCCTTCAAGTGATTGCCAACTCATTTTTGGCCAATCCATCGACATCGCCTCTCTTTGCCACCGTTCTAGTGGAATATCTGCTCGAGCGCATGGAAGAAATGGGCTCCAATATTGAACGATCAAATCTATATCTACGGTTATTCAAATTAGTTTTCGGTTCGGTTAGTTTGTTCCCAGCTGAGAATGAGCACATGTTGCGGCCACATCTGCATAACATTGTAATTCGTTCGATGGAGTTGGCGATGACTGCCAAAGAGCCATACAATTACTTTTTGCTACTTCGTGCACTGTTCCGTTCGATTGGTGGTGGCAGTCATGATTTGCTGTATCAAGAATTTTTACCATTGTTGCCCAATTTGCTTGAAGGATTGAATCGTTTGCAAAGTGGTTTCCACAAACAACACATGAAAGATTTATTTGTCGAATTATGCTTGACCGTTCCAGTGCGTTTGTCATCGCTTCTACCATACTTGCCCATGTTGATGGATCCATTGGTATCCGCTCTCAATGGTTCGTACACACTCATCAGCCAAGGTTTGCGTACACTTGAACTGTGCGTTGATAATTTACAACCAGATTTCCTGTACGATCACATTCATCCGGTTCGTGCCGATTTGATGCAAGCTCTATGGCATACACTGCGTAATCAAGATAGTGCCGCTCAAGTGGCATTCCGTGTGTTGGGCAAATTTGGTGGTGGCAATCGTAAAATGATGGTCGAACCACAGCGTTTGGAATATAACGAAAAGAATGCGTTGACAACGGCAATTGTTGCCCATTTCACTGATCATCAAAAACCAATCGAATTTCCAGTGGATAAGGTCATCGAAACGGCATTCAATGCACTGAAAAACAGTTCAACCGATCCATTCTATTGGCGTCAAAGCTGGGAAGTCATTCGTTGCTATTTGGCCGCTTCACTATGCTTAGAGGATGACAAACACACGCTGCAAAAACTGTTTATGCATAACACTTTCTTGGAGGGAAGTATCGGCACATCACCAGGTCCACATTATAAATCACCGGATGCACAAGCACGTCAAACGCAACAGACTGCATTGACTGGAATGTTTGTGGCCGCTGCGACAAAGGAGTTGAGACAATACGTTCTGCCGACAATGGTGGCCGTTGTTCGTCACTACACAATGGTTGCAATCGCTCAACAGGCCGGACCATTCCCATACAAACATACATATCAAGTGAGCAACGGTTTGGATCCATTGATTTTGATCGATGCACTTGCCGTAATCATGGGCCATGAAGAGAAGGAACTGTGCAAACCGGGCCATTTGGCAATGGTTTTGATACTGGACACAGCCACAAATATCATGGGAAATAAAGAACGCGCTTGCCGTTTACCAATGATGCAATACTTAGCAGAGCGTATGTCATCATTATGCTACGAACGACCGTGGTATGCAAAAATGGGCGGATGCACTGCATTGAAATTCCTGTATCAACACATGGCCATGCGATGGTTGTACCAGCATTTGTTCGTATTCCTCAAGGCGTTCATGTTTGTGATTATGGATTTGGCGGGTGAAGTGTCGAGCGGTGCGATCGATATGGCAAAAACCTATTTGGAACAAATGCTCACCATTACGATGGTGCCACTTGGAAAGGATTATAAAAATGAAGAATTGGTAACGACACAGAACAAAGCCATTTATGAAGTGGTTCAAGAGCTGGTGCGACAAGTAACCAGCCCAAATTCAATGGTACGCGAGCAGGCAATGTCTTCGCTGCGATTGATTGCCAATGCACAAGGTAAAACAATTACCGAAGTGATGAGCCCACATCGTGAAGTACTGGCTGATATTATTCCACCGCGAAAACACTCATTGCGACACCAACCGTGCAGCGCACAGATCGGTTTGATGGATGGCAACACATTCTGCACAACACTCGAACCGAAATTATTTACACCGGAAATGATTGGCGACTATGACAAGCTCTGCTTCCCCGAACTGATAACGCTGTGCAACGCCGACGATGCCGTTCTCACCAAATTGGATTGCTACAAAAATGTCACCAATTTGATTCCACTGCGGAAAAGTGCATTGAAAACACTCACCGCATGCCACTATTTGGCTGATGCCTCGAGTCGCGACAAGATTTTGGCACTTCTGCTGAAATCACTCGAAAAGAATAACACCGAACTTCAAGAGACCGCATTCGAGTGCCTACAGAAATTCCTCTCGGTTTACACCATTGACAAGGAAATTGTGAGTATTGAGTTGACTTATTTAAGGGTATTTGGGATGTGGTCAAAATTATGAAAAAAGTATAGCCATTTTCTTAGATTGAATTCTAACTTTTCTTGGAATGGCTCATACAAATTCAATTCAATTCAATCTCCCTTTCAATTCACCGAAATTTATTTCTACTTCAAATACAGATTCACTCCGCTATGCGACCATTACTGCTGACGCTGGGCGATTATCGAAATTTAACGTTGAATGGAACGAAACGTTTATCATATTTGACACGATTATTCCCGTCAATGTTCAATGAAAAACTGTGCGAACAACTGTTGCAGCACATTTGCAAAATGCTTGAGAATTCGATAACGGCCAATAAAGGGAAGAACTTCCTCGCCATTGCTAAAACGGGTGATAATGAGCAAAAAGTGGCCACTATTTTGGGTATATTCCATCAAATACCGGCCGCAACGAATAAATTCATCGAAACATTGTGTCGACTGATATTGCAAACGGAAAAGAATCTTATGATCGAACCATCGTGCCCGTTCCGTGAGCCGTTGGTCAAGTTCCTCCTTCGATTCCCGGGCGATACAATTGATCTTTTAATGAACGATAACAACATCAAGGATCAACAAAACAATCGATTCGTTATTTATCTGCTGAAACATGAAAGTGGGCTGAAATTCAGAAATGTCATGCAAACCAGATCGAACCGCTTGATTCAATTGATTCTCTGCAATCCATATGATGGAATCGCTACTATTCAAAGGTAGGTTTTTCAATTCATACAACGAAATAATTTTTTCTTGCATAATTCAAATGAAAAATAATTGCTTTGATCTACTCAAAACAGCCAAGTCATTCTGGCTTCACATGAAGACCGTTACGAAGCACAACATCAAGCTGTTGTCGTAATTACAACGCTCATTGAGTTCGATGAAAACTGGATTGCCGATCAAACTGAATTGGTCAATGCACTGAAAAATATTTGGCAAACCGATTTGTATAAGGTGAGTTAAAAAATAAAGAAGATTCATTCAAAATTGGACGAACTTGCTGGAAGCACTTCAGTGAGATAGAATTTATATTTTTACTCAACTTTTTTTCATTCGCTTCATTTTAAAACAGAGTTGTGAGACAAATGTAGCCTGTGATCTTTGGCATTTGATTTCGAAAATTTTCCTAAAATACTTTACACATCACACCGATGACATCGATTTACTGTTCATGCTGTTGCGAGCATTATGTCTACGTTTTATACCTGACTTCCAGGTGAGTTTTGAAATTCTTATTTTTTCCAATGGAAAAAAAATACTTGTTTAAAAATCATTTCAACATAAAAAAAATTCTCCGCATTATTTACAGTTTCTTCGTGACTTCCTCTCGAACACTGTTGCTCAGAATTACACGGTTGATTGGAAACGCAAGGTGTTCTTCCACTTTGTGGACAATTTCCACAATCCAGCACTATCGCAAGAGCTAAAAGCGAAAACTTTAACCACAATTTTGATACCATGCTTTGCGGTGAGCTTCGAAAAGGGTGAAGGTATCAAATTGATCGGTGCACCGCCATCACCATATCAAGAGGATGAAAATAATGTTGTGTCTGTGTTTATCAGTCGTGTAATCGATCCAGATAAGCCATTTGAAAATGATGACGCTGTACGAATAGCGTTGTTGCAATTCGCATGTTTGCTGGTGGAACGAGCATCGCCACACATTCACGATGGCGATTCGAATAACAAGCGTCAGGGTAGTAAATTGCGTCGTTTGATGACATTCGCTTGGCCATGTTTGCTTGGCAAAAACTGTGTTGATCCATCGGCACGGTATCATGGTCATCTGTTGCTCAGTCACATAATCGCACGCCTTGCAATCCACAAGCGAATTGTGCTGCAAGTATTCCATTCGTTGCTCAAAGGTCATGCAATCGAGGCTCGTGCTGTGGTGCGTCAAGCACTTGAAGTGCTAACACCAGCGATGCCATTGCGAATGGAAGATGGTCACACTATGTTAACCCATTGGACCAAAAAGATCATCGTCGAAGAGGGACATTCGATGCAACAATTATTCCATATTTTGCAATTGGTTGTGCGTCACTCCAAGGTTTACTATCCAGTTCGACACAATCTCGTGCAACACATGATCACATCGATAACACG